TGGGGAATTCATTTCAAAACTGTACTTCTGGCCTAGATTTAGATGCTAACTTAAGCACAGTCATTGAATTCCAAGAGATCAACCTATATTCAAGAAACAGAAGATGGCTCCTTCACAGAAATCAGGCAGGTATTTTCTGGGTAAATTGCTTTTCTGTGTAGAATTAAATAATTTCCTGTTTTCCTTTTACCACATACACACAGGAAATTAAGACAGCAAGTGCTTAATTACAAAGGATGATCCTAGCTTTCTTGTTTGCTATGGGCTGTAATACGTCATGAGGGAGCTAGTCCATTCTGATGGTCTTGGTGATCTCAATTGCTGTTTTTTCATTCCTAACTGCATTTACTAGAAAAGGACACCACATGAATGGTGGTATCTTTGTGTATACCCAGAAATCGGTTTCTTCTTTGGGACAATCATGGGTTGCCAGACCAGTCTTTGGATGTATACTGATCATCAGGATAATGGTGAATAAAGGAGGTAGCAGAGACTAGTTGCAAGAAAATCACGTATTTGCTAAATCTGTAGGAAAACTGGGCACAAGAATGTGTGTCAAGCATTCCTTCTGTATGAGGCTGTTTAGTCTGACAAGGAGTCGAGAGCTGATCTTCTGAAAGGTTTGATTGAATCGAACTCTTGCCTGGAAATGTCTTGTTGCTTTATCTGCCATTCTCTCCATCTTTTATTTTGGAGGTTACTTTAACTATGTTTTGCTAACTGTAATAATTGTAATAATTGTACCTTTTTTCATCCTTACCTATGATTAGCTTGATTGATCTTGATTCATATGAGGAAGATAATGTTGAAGAAAATGTACTTCTTCAAAGAAATCATAGAATCACCAAGATTGGAAAAGACCTCTAAGATCATCATCCAACCATCCACCTATCACCAACATTTCCCACTAAACCATGTCCCTTAGTACAACATCTAAACATTTCTTGAGTGCTTCCAGGGTCAGCGACTCCACCACCTCCTTGGGCTCCTTCTGTTCCAGTGCCTGACCACTGTTTCAGAGAAGTATTTCCCAACATCCAACCTGAATCTCCCCTGGCACAGCTTGAGGCCATTCCTTCTATTAAATGAGGGTGCTCGTACATTTGTTATGCATTAAGCCTCACAAATGAAGCAGCAGAGTTCTGAAAGTAAAGCGGCTATTTTCCCATGAGAATTAATAATATGAGAGTGCATATGAGGACACGTTCTCAGAGGAAATTAGTTCTCATTCACTTTTTCAGAAACCAAGTCCTTCCTCCAGCTGACAGTCTTAATGACTCTTCCCCTACCTCTCTATCCTGGAGGCAGTACATACTCATCAGTCCCTGTGTCAGTAGAGCTACTTTAGTGTCTTTCAAAGTGGAAAATGTTACACTTTTCAGAAACACATTTTCAGTGGGTTATGGATCAAATATGTACGTTGCAGAGGTGTTTCTGAATTGATACTCTTCTAGCATTTTAAAAGAACAACTTTTAAGATAAGCAGAGATATCAAGTACTTATCAGACATGGAGCAGACAAACAACAATGGAGTTCTGTAGTTATTTTTGATGGTGTTAGTAAAAAATAAAAATCAGTGTGTCAGGACCCAGTATATCTATGCTGACCATACTGAAAATATTACTCTATGTGATGAAATTTCTTATTTTAGCCTAGGATCACCTCCATTGGAGTAGTCCTGGATTGTTTCTGAAGGTTTATGTAACTTCCATGGACAAACTTTCATTTCCTTACACTGTTCTGCATGATTACCTTGTCACAGAATGGCTGAGGTGGGAGGCAACCCCCTGGAAACCATGTAATCCAGTTCCTGCCTGAGCAGGGTACCCAGGCTGATGTCCAGGCAGCTTTTGGAGATCTCCAAGGAAGAGACTCCACAGCCTCTGGACAGCCTGTGTCCATCACCCACACAGCATAGAAGTGCTACTTGGTGTTCAGGGGGACCCTCCTTTGTTCTAGTTTATGTCCATTGTCTCTGGTCCTAATGCTGGGCGCTGCTGAAAAGAGCCTGGCTCTGTTCTCTTTGCACCCTCCCTTCTGAAAATTATAAAGAATGATAAGATTTCCCACCTCTTCAACCCCCTACCCCCCCTCCCCACCCAATCCTCCTCTTCTTCAGGCTGAGCAGTCCCAGCTCTCTCAGTCTCTCCTCACAGGGTAGTGGCTTCAGTCCCATGTAACCTCAGTTGCACTTCTTGTCCTCTGTGTATAGGTTTCTGCAACACTATAATTATTGTTCACAAGTGGATTTTCAAAGAGTATTTGTGCTCTGGTGGGGAAATGGGAGAATGTTCAATTTTCAACACTTTATAGAACAGACCTCAGTTATTTTGTTTTAACTTGGCTGAGATGGGATTAACTTTCTTCATAGCAGCCAACATATAGCACTGTGCTTTGAATTTGCATCTAAAATGGTGTTGGTGACACCAGTGTGTTGGCTGTTACTGAGCAGTGCTTCTGCGCTGTCAAGACAGTACCTTTATCCTCATTCCCTCACCCCAGAGAGTATGTTGGAAGGGGATGCAGTTGGGACAGTTCATTTGAGGTATCTGAAGGGATACTCAGTATTACAATATGCCATTGTGCTTAGCAGTAAGATCTCAAAGGAGGAACAAAAGGGGATGCTACTAGTTGTTAGGTCCATATTCCCTAGCAATTATTGTGTATGCTGAGGCTCTGCATCCCTGGATGTGGAGCATCTGCATACTGATGGGGGAAGTAGTGAATTAATTCTTCTTTTATTTTTTTTTTTAACTTGCAACTTTTGTTTTCCTTATCAAATTGTCATTATTTTAACCTGTGAGTCATAGAATCACCATAACAGATCTCCAAGATTATCCAGTCCAACTGTCCGCCTGCCACGATATTTCCCACTAAACTATGTCCCTCAGTACAACATCTGAGTATTTGTTGAACACGTCCAGGGACTCCATCACATCCCTGGGCAGCCCATTCCAGTGTCTGACCACTCATTTGGAGAAGAGACATTTCTTAATATCTAACCTGAACCTCTCCCGGTGCAACTTGAGGCAATTTTCTCTAGTCCCATCGCTGGTTATGTGGGAGAAGATGCTAATGCCCACCTCACCACAACCTCCTTTCAGGAGGTCTTTCTATTTTTGCTCCAACCAGCAGGAGAGGAGAATGAGAAGCAGCAGTGTGTGTAATTTGCTGTTGGCTGGGGTTGGCCCAGCACAGTTGCCTCTTCCCTGTCTTCCGTTGCTGCTCTTCATCACTTTCAGTTGGAATGGCTTTCCTGTTGTGTTTCCTTCTCTTGGTTCCAGCAGGGCTGATACAGAATAACAATCCTGGCAGTGCTCAAAGCATTTTGGCACCATTTCATATGTAACTTTAAATGTTGGTTCTATCTACTAGTAAAGGCTTTCATAATAATTCTCAACGCTTTCCCTAAGCTTGCTTTTAAACGAGAGGGAGACTGACTTTTTACAGGGGCATACAGTGATAGTTTGAGGGGGAATGGTTTTAAGCTACAAGAGGAGAGAGATAGATTAAATATTAGGAGGAAAGCTGAGTTTCTAATGGATGGAGTTGCATTATGTTTGTTCTGATGAGATTCCTGCAGTGTCTGGCATTCTAATCTGACACTCACTTTGAGTCTGTGTAATGTTCACCAAGAAAAACTTGCTTCTCTTCCCATCAGTGATGCCCTAAAACAGTTACCAAATTGAGGCATTCACATGTAAGATGCTGATTTAGTGATAGGGTGCGCTCTGCTACTGACATCAATAGTCCTAGCCACGTTCTGCTGACAGCCTGCTTTTAGCTGTGTGCATCAAGAGCTTCTTCTATTTTGGATTTACCAACTGAGGTAAGTTGAGTTACTGATCCAGATTAAAACTAAGCAAAATCCCCAACAAAAAAGTATAAAAGAAAGCTTTCAGCATACCAGTTGCACTATTTGCTTTGACTGAAGCTGAAATGAGAGATGGAGTAGCAGTATATGGTTCTGGGGGGAGTTAGAGTCACGTAATCATAGAATCCTTAAGATTGGAAGGGACCTCTGAAGGCCATCTAATCCAACTCCCCTGAAAAATACCATAGATAGATCAGGTCATCCAGGGCTTTATCCAGCCTCACCTTGGAAGTTTTTAGGGACAGGCATCCCATGCATGGACAGCAATGCTGTTGTAAGCATGGCTGCAACTTGAAAATGTCAGGTGAAGTTTCGTAGCCCAGTTAATTACTCTTCATGGTTATTTCTTCTCTCTTATGCTTGTTTTAGCCAGTTGGGCCTTCCTTTGAGTTGTTTTCATGTTCTAGAACAATAAAAAGAAATAAACCCAGTCAGTATGGCTGACTGTTTTGCCACTGCAGCAAGTTACAGCTTTTTACACAGCCATCTAATTAGCAGTGGCAGTACTTTCCCAAGAAAGAAGGGAGAGCAAAAAGGAGGAGGAGTGGCAGCTCCTTCTGATAATGTTATTTATGTGTGTGATACCTTGTGCGATTTACTTGAAGAAATAGTTCCCAATTCTTTCATCTGTAAAGCCACATCTGTATTATGAAGTACATCTGCTCCTGAGATGATACTTTGCCCTCCAGATGAGCATTGTGAAATGACCATGTTTAGGTGGCTTTCCTACCAAGCAGGCCAGCTGTGTTAGTGTTGAGTGGTACATTGCCATTAGTCTTCTTTGGGACCTGCACAGTACCTCCATGGCTCTAAGCATCCATAGTTACTTGGTTTTCACTGAATGTCTAAACTAAAACGTGATTTATTTTCCTGGATTGTGGACTGTAGGGTCATAAAATTTAGTTTTTAATTCAGCACAATAACTTTTAACTCAAAAGAATGTATTTTGTTTGCTTTGTTTCTCTTTGTTTATGCTGTCTTTGCAAATCTCAGCCTTTGCAGACAAATGTGCTATACTTCTGTTATTTTAGATGAGATTGTGTGGCCTTAAGATTTAAGTAAAAATTCAGAAGTAATTTAGGTTTAATTATTTTAACTACTACTTTATCATCTTTGCTTGTTTCAGGTACATGCAGAGTTTCCTCGAGCTTTTAGAATATGAAAATAAAAGTCCTGAGGATCCTCATGTTCTGGATGAGTGAGTAATTTGTTTTCTCGTGACAGTTTATTTTAAAATGTTTTGTTTTTTATTGTACCATAGGATAACAGTGACCTTAATTGTAAGATAGAATCATGTTGCTGCCCTTTGTAGTGTCTTGTGTGGCACCAGATGACTTAGACGTTTCACAATGACCTCTACCTTTTCTTCCTTTAGTTTAATTACTATCATAAGATGTGAGACTTGCCTGAATGGAAGTAATTCTGGCCCACTAACACCCTAGCAGCTGTTGTTTGGAGCTGAATTTGGTATCAGCCTCAAGCTGTCAAAAACAAACAAAAAAAACCAACAACAAATCAAACCAACAACATTAAGACTTTCAGAGGAACAGATTTTTGAAAATGGAATGAGCACCCTGGTCATTTTAGTCAATTGAGGTACACTTAAGTTTCTGTTATCACTTTGCGAAGTAACAGTTGCACAAGAGAGAGTAAAAGGAGCTGAAGTGCTCTTTTAGATAGGTTTGATATCCAGGCTGCGTGTCCCAGTCTTGAGAAGTGGACTTTGGTGCTGCAGTTTGCAGATCTACTAGATTTTTTTTTTTTTTTTAAATGACCCAGAGCTGCTTATTACACGTGTTTTTGTCACTTCAAAGTGATCACTGAGAATGTTAGAGTAGGAGCAAACTCATCTTGGATAGAACAGAGCAGTGGTGCCTTCTTCGGTTTGTGTGAGGCAGTCCTACGAACTACCGTTTATTTTCTTTCCAGCTGCCTCATGGCTTTTTGGCTTTCTGATGCTCCTTAGTAAATGTGTGGATATATCACTTATCCCTTCATTGATCAGAGTTGGGCTCAGTGTCTCCAGGATCCTCAGGAATGATTTCAAGCACGTAATCAATTTCAGACTGATTCAGAGGTTTGACCTCTTGCAGTAGTGTGGTGTTTGTGTGTGACAGCCAGCCCCCTGACTGCATTACATAGCTTTGGAGAGAGAGGTGTGTGAATACTCGGTGTGGTCAGTAGATCTTCAATTAATGCTAAAGGTGAAATGACAGGCTGTCATCTCTCCACTCACCTGTAGAGCCTGTTTAGTGTATTCTAAGAGTCCAGGATCTCTTCCTGAGAAATTCACTCTACCTATCAGTGTTACAGGATTATAGATGTTATCCATGCACTGTCTGTGAAGCAGTGTAGTGAAGTGAGTTGGGAAATTCTTCTAATGGAGAAATAGCTCTCTCTTATCCTCATCAGACCCCAAACTATAGCACCACAAAGACAGCAGAACCAACATGACAGAAGTGGTGAACAGACACAAATAAAACTAAACCAGTGCTAATGCTGGAGAAACTGCTTATCAGAGTGACCCAGCTTCTCTGTGCTTAGTGTATAAATATGAGGAGGGATGAATGTTAATGAGCGTTACCTTTTGCAAACACTGGAAAAATATGTCAAAGGGATATTTCTGTCAGAGGATTTCTGTGTTACAGAGGTTCAGAGGTACTTCAGTTTCTTTACTAGGTTCTCCTGGTTACTGGGCTGGATGAAGAAATGCCACAACGTTGGCAGACTGCTGTTGCTGCCAGTAGTATGGGCATACAGGAAAAGCTTGGGTTACTCTGGTTTTGGTGACACAAACATCTTTTCTCCAGCTTCAGGTGGGAAGTCTTTCTACAGTTCTGTCAAATAGTGTGATTGCAGAAGCATCAGGACAGTGTTTCCATTTGGTAGAGCTTGTAAGCTGGCAGAAGTGTTTGAAATTTTCCATGCTGTCAGTGTGCATCCAGATAAACAAAGACAGAAGTTGCTTTTCGTATGTGGAAGGCTAGTGAAAAGTGATGTTTGTTGAAGGCATTCAGAAAACACTGCACACCCTGTACCTGTGTGCTTCTTCACTGATTCTTTTTTCTCCCTTTGTGATGGGAGCATGTCAGAGAAAGTGCTCTAGAACTGACAGTAAATGAAATAATACTGTCTAATACTGTCTCCAGATAATGCACACAGAAGAAACTAAGTAAACAAATATAACTTTCCTTTCTGCAGTATAAAGATTAAAGTAGTTCCTCTTTTAGCAATTTTAAATAAATAAGTGCTACAGTAACTAAGAATAAGAACATACCATTTTGTTACTTGAAAACCATATATGCTGTATCAGTCAGTGTTTTGCACTTGGAAAACTGTTGTACTTCATAGTAGAGAAGTCTGTCAGTGTGAACTTAGTTTATTTCTCAACTACCTGCTAGTACTTACTTAAAAAGAGTGGTTAATGAAAAACTGCTAGTAATAATTGCATGCTGGTTCTATTTAAAAATATTTTTTGATTGTCCACTCATGGCTTTTTTTTTTTCAGTTTTTCAGATAACAGTGTCTATGAAATGGGCATAGCAGTAATTTCCTTTTGTCCTTGTAGTGATTTTTTTTTTTTAAATTTCACTGTAACAATAGATTAAGGCAGAATGAACAGTCACTAGGGAGTTAAATAACTTGTGTGGTGACATTCATGAATTGTCTTTGCAGAAGTTTATATGCTTAATTTATTTAATAGCAGTCTTAATTTATTTAATAGCTATGGTAACAAACATTCTTTTGTTAATGTAGAAGCCAGTGATGCTATTTGAATGTAGTATCTTCATATTAGTAATTTCTCATTTGTCAAACCAACTGTATTGTTTATTCATTGTAGTTGTATAAATGCAGCACACTGAATTTTTCCAAAGATTTATTGCTAAATAAAACTTTCAGAGCTATTCTGCAGTTTATTTTTCTCAAGCAATCCCTGTGAGCAGCTTAAAAATTTCATTATATGATCTCCTATGATTTGTGGGTACAGTGAAAGCTTCAAATGCCTTCCAGTTGTTTGCAAGACAAGAAGTGGGTAAGGAATGAGTGATAAGATTAAAGAAATGTGTGACAGTTTCTGCCCTGCTGCCTTGAAATATGCATGCATAGTTTGATATGCTTGGTCCTTTAAAGCATCTATTTAATGAAAAGGCTTGAATGAACTCAGCTATCTTTGAAGATAGAATAGGAGCCTATCAATCATTGCAGTAGTGAAAGATTCCTTTACTGTATGCATTCACACACTGAACTTCAGCTATGATGTGCTGATCTGTAACAAATAAACATCCTAGCCCTTTCTTTGTCCTTCACACACACATTATGCATTTGAACCCTTAAATAGCAGGATGTCAGTGACTGACTTGTCCTTGTGGAACATGTAAGCATCATACTGTGGGTAGTGGAACTACTTAAAAATAAAAAGCAAAGCTGTTTGCCACTAGCACTTAGTACAGGGTGCTGTCACTTGTTGTCTTTTAGATATTATTGTAACTTTTTCACATTGTGCTTTTATGCCAGTCTTGTTGCTCTGAAACAGAGAGGAAGCTTGATGACAACAGCTAGGCACTAGTCTTGTCTAGAAAGCTCAGTGGTTACAAATCACACAGAATTAGGAGTTAATAAAGGGCTTTCAAACTTTTTAAAATATTTCATAGAATTTTAAGGTCACCAAGGTTGGAAAAGACGTCCAACATCATCCAGTCCAACTGTCCACCTACTAGCAATATTTCCCACTAAACCATGTTACTTAGTACAACATCAAAATGTTTCTTGATCACTACCAGGGATGGTCATCCTACCATTTCTCTGGGCAGCCCATTCCAGTTTCTGATCACTCTTTCAGAGAAGTATTTCCTAATGCCCAGCCTGGACCTCCCCTGACACAACTCAAGGCCATGCTCTCTTGTCCTATTGCTAGTTACGCAAGAGAAAAGGCCAATCCCCTCTTCACCACCATCTCTTTTCAGGCAGTTATAGAGAGTGATAAGGTCTCCCCTTTAAAAGGGAATGAGCCTCCTCTTCTCCAGACTGAACAATCCCAGCTCCATCAGCTGCTCCCTATAAGACTTGTGCTCCAGACCCCTCACAGTTTTGTTGACCTTCTCTGAACATGCTTCAGGGCCTCCATGTCTTTCTTGTAGTGAGGAGCCCAGAACTGAACACAGCACTCAAGGTGCAGCTTCACAGGTGCTGAGTACAGAGAGATGATCACTTCCCTGCTCCTGCTGGCATCAGTATTTCTGATAAAAGCCGGGATGCCATTGGCCTTCTTGGCTACTTGAGCACACTGCTGGCTCATGCTCAGCCAAGAATCAACCAACACCCCCATGTCTATTTCCTCCACACCATCTTCCAGCCATTCTGCTCCAAGCCTGTAGCATTGCCTGGGGTTGTTGTGACTGAAATGCAGGACCCAGCACTTGGCCTTGTTAACTTCATCCCGCTGGCCTCAGCCCAGTCCAGATCCCTCTGTAGGGCCTCCCTATTCCCAGGCAGATCAACAGTTCCTCTGAACTTGGTGTCATCTGCAAATTCACTGAGGGAGCATTCAGTCCCCTCATCCAGATCACCAATAAAGATATTGAACAGTACATTCTAAGCTGTTAAGTCAGAAGGATTGGCAAGTAATAGGGAACAGCCACATGAAAGTCTTTAAACCGGGAAGTTAGGCAATTCAGACTTCTTCTTTTATATGCAACAAAACAGTGTATAAAGACTACTGAATTCTTGGTAAATATATGGGCAAAATGTGATGATCAGACCAAGAATAATGAAAAAGTTATTAATCTTCCGTTTCTTTGGAGCTGGCAGTATACAGTGGGAAAAATCATTTTAAAAGCAGGTCAGGCACTAATTAAGAGTGGCATGGTTTGCTATCAAATGATTGGTTCAGCTGTCTGGTTATAAAAAGGAAGGAAGCATCTGCTTTACATCTGCACTAGACAAGGTGACTAGATGATACTCTTTTAACTTTTGTTGACCTTACTCTTCCTTCCTTAGTTGGTGCATATTTTACTTTTGATACAAATAATTAATACATTTCTTCTTCATGTTTGATATAAATCTATGGGTGCTTTATAGTTAGCTTTAAAAAAAAAGTTAAATGTGCACATGTAGACGTAGCACAACAAATTTCCTTTCTTTTAAAAGCTACATTTGAGGATGTTTTTTAAACAAAATTATGTAATCATTATGGTGCCAATATTTAGCATTAGAGAATGCAGCACTGACTGAGTAGCACTGATTTTCTGTGTCTAGGCTTTATAAAGCTATTATTACATAAAGTATGCATGAGTTTGTGTGTGGAATAAAAGGAATGACCACTTTGAAAGTGGTAGGTGTTCAGCTGTCTTGGCAGGAGGAACAAAAATTCTCCAAGAGAAGTGCTGGTTAAAAACAATGCAAGAGAGATTCTCAAACTTCCCCCAGACTGCCAGAGGAAGAAGAGTCACTGAGCACTGTTGTATGTGTTCTGCCATCCAGTGGTGTAAAATGAAACTGAAGTCACACAGATAACACTTACTTTTCCCAGCATTCAGACTTTAGAATAGATGCCAGGTAAAGAAATGCGTTCAGAAATTACACTGCATGGGGTGGAGTGTTAGGAAGAAAGCACAAAGTGTAAAACTTGGCAGGAAACTGTGAAGGGCAGTTGTTTTGTTTGAATTACTTCTCCAGTCTACCAATCTACCAGCTACTGTTACTCGCAGAAAATGAGTTACCATGATACATGTGACTGTGGTCATAAGGAAATTCTCTGTTAACAGTGAAGATATTTATTTTAAAGAAATGTTTTGGGGAGAAATGACTCAAATTAAGGCAATAAATATTTCACAGATCTTGTGAGTGACATCTTGATTTCCTTTTAAATAGGCTTGTTTGGGTACAACTATGTTTTATTTGCTGGGTGGGACAGTAAATAGATAAAATGATTGTGCTGTGGGGAGTTGAAAACAGAAATGAGAGACAGAGTTTAATTATATCTTTAACAATCTGTTTCTAATTTTGTTTCTTCTAGCTTTTTAGACGTTTTAATTAAAGTCAGGAACAGACACAATGATGTGGTTCCAACCATGGCACAAGGGGTGATTGAATACAAGGAAAAATATGGCTTTGACCCATTTGTTAGCAGTAACATCCAGTATTTTCTAGATAGATTCTACACCAACCGCATCTCTTTCCGTATGCTTATTAACCAACACAGTAAGTAATTGCTTATTTCATCTTTAAGAGCTTTAGTTATTGCTTGTAATCCCAAAGCCAGATCTTTTGAGTATTTTTCAAATTTGTGACTAATTCTTAATATTCTGTGCTAATGATGGTAAAGTTGTACTGACAACTCATTAACTTGGTACTTCATAGCTATCAGGAATGAATCCAAAGCACCAGTATGCTTTCTTCCAGAACTGGGGGGTGTTATCATTGTGGCTGTCAGTTTTCAATCTTGTTGACACAGACAGCTTGCATAGTGATGCATGATAATTTTAGATCCTTCTGCTCAGAAGTCTGTTAACATCATTTGTAGAGTTGGTATTTATAATCAAATAGGAGGATGCAGGTTTTGAGTAGATTGTGTCCTGTGTGCATCTTTTTTAGTTTTTCATCAAGTTATATAGACTTTCTTGCCTTTTAACTAATACTGATTGAGTATTTCTGACTCAAGGTTTAAATTATGACCCCTTTGTCTCCCTCTTCTTCCTACTACCTATTTAAGTGTAAATATTAGAATTAGTTATTTTTTCAATAGGATTCTGTTTCATTCCCTTGTGTTGTTACTCATAAACTTTTATACTGGTATTACACAGTGAAAGGACAGCTCCTATTAACCATTATATGCAAGTATGCAGAGAGTGATGTGTGTAAAGTTAAGGCCAAGCATGTGATATCTGAGTGTATCTTGTACCTTTTAGCTCTAAGAGCTTCTCTGTCTGCCCACTATTCAGTTTTTATGGCGTATTAATGTATGAGTGCACCACAGATGATCGGGAGCAAATGCAGAATAGTGCATTGTGAGGTTTTATACATCCTGTGCGTCTTTCCAGTAACCTTCCATGTGACTAGCACGTGCCATGCTGAGTGTGTACAAGTAACTTTCATGTGTCAAAGCATACTGTGAGATAACTCTGCATTTATGTTGTGTTTCATTATTGACACTTTATTATGATGTGGTCATGCAAGGAATATTGTGCCAGTATATTACCTCACCATTTCTGGAATAGGAAAAGCTTTCATATCATTTGCTTACCTCATACTGCCCCTGGTTTCTTATCAGAACTGCTTAATTTGCCATAGCAGCAGAAAGTCACTTCTGCAAAAAAGCTTGAAGTCTTTCTGCCTCTTTGAGAGTTCAGCTCTCAGCAAAGGGTTTGGTGAGTGCCAGACCTTATGTGAAAGTGGGAGTGCTGCTAAGAGTTGTCTTCAGCAGCAGGGTTTCTGCCAGTTTGCTGCAGTGTCTTTACACAGAATGTGCTATCCAGTAAGTTTGACGTACCATTGGAGTTTGACTTGCTATGCTGTCTCAAATGTAAAGGCAAGTTATAACCATTTGTTTTTCCTTATAGCGCTTCTTTTTGGAGGAGACATTAACCCTGCTCATCCCAAACATATTGGAAGTATTGATCCTAATTGTAATGTGGCAGAGGTGGTTAAAGGTAAGGAAACTAAATTGATAATTTTGTTGATTGAAAAGTCCACAATTTGGAATATGAATAAATATACTATTCTGATACAAAAGGCTGAAGGTGGTGTACATTGATTTAATAAATTGAAAACAAAGACAAAAGCAACAAGAAACAAAAGTTTTGCAGTTGCTTACAACAAAGCCGTGGGCTAAATGAGAATTTCTAAAGTCTCCATAATTAAGAATGGTGAAACTTGTGTTACATTTCTGATACATTAGCAGAACTAGGGAGACATGATCTTTTTTTTTTTTAACTTTAGTGTGTCCTTTTTAATATCAGACTAAGTACCTAAATGTTGTATTAAAATTACATATCCTTTTTCCCCCGAAATACTCAGAAATGTGTTCTAAGGCACTATTATTTTTTATTTAATACTGGTAGTGAAGAAATTTAAGAATAAGTGCAATTTTCTGATTGATTTATTAGGCCTTTAAGTACAGTGTTCTCAAACGTGTGGTTGTTCCAGCGATTAATCTCGTGATTTTATCACATCTCATCCCATTCTTTCTTGTACTGGAGACATGTTCATGTTATGAATGTTCATATGCTTTCAGAGCATTAGTAAATATGCGTGAGGCAATGCTGTCTCCTGTGAAGAACTGGCTTATTGAAGAGTCATGCTCTGGATGTATCTATTTACAAATACAGTTTTTGATCCAGGAATGAATTCCACTCTCTGTCCTTTGCTGCTGTTTATGCAGTTACTAGAGGAAAAGAATGTGTTTCTTCTCTTTTCTTTTTGTCAGCTTTCAGCTAAGAGAGGGAACTTTGTTAGAATTTGGCCTGCATGATAGCTTGCTTTGTAACAGATGAGTTTTAGTGTTAGCAGGGCTTCTCATCTTCTAGCTCTTTGGCTTCTAAGGTGGCTGTTTTCCAGCAGCTCTATTTACATTTGATTGATTTTATTCCACTTTGACCTTGGTATTGTATGGTACAGACTTGTTTATTTCAATGCTCTTTCTAGTTGGGCTTGAATCTATTTTATCATGAAACTCATAGTTGCAATCTGTCGTGGACAGAGGAGTGCATGGTATCAACAGGTGTTCAGTCCAGTTTTCGAGCTAGTAGTTGCAGTAGATAAACTATATATAAAAACATGGCCTTTAACAAAATCAGGGTATCAAAAACAGTATCCTCTGTTGTCTTTTAAAGAAACAAAATGTCATTAGAGGAAGAGCCTGTCTAGAGTCAAAAGCAATTAAGCCTATTTCATCTTCAGGGTGGTCAGAGTGGTTAGCATACATTTTATATACTATGCTAGCTCTGATATGACCTAGTGCATAGGTGTTATATGGAGCAATTTGCCAGAGGTAAGATGTGACTTAGGCACTGGATGTGTCAGCTACAGGCTCTGTATGCCCTCCAAATCTAAAAGAAATGATTTACATGCCCACTTCTCACTTCAAGCAGCTCTACTGAGTGTAGCATCTTTAAATGCCTGAGGTGGGTCACTATCTCACTGACTGTCCTACAGAAATACTTTTTATTTATTTGAGCTGAGAGCAACTCTGGACTTGTTATTCAAGCTATTACTTTATATGTGCCAACAGATCCTTCACTCCTGTTGTACCTCAAACCATAACATGAGGAATGTCTTGAACTTTTTGATAAGTCCTAGGCCTCTGCCAAAGATGAAGGTGGCTTTTAGAAGAAGGTTGTCTGCACCCAGACACTTTTCTGGATGCATAACTGGATCATGAAGTGATAGTGCCTTTCTTTTCATCTCAAGCACTTCAGGGTGGCTACTTCTTGAAAATGGATGAGTTTTATGTTCTGTTTAGGGAGGCTAAGTGGAATTTTTCAGTCCCTTCATTTTCTTGAGCTTTACATAGTGGATATATCTGCAGTACATTCATATATCGATGTTTTCAAGTTTATTATCACCTTATTATTAGTATTCTTTCTCCACAATAAGGAATCCAACTCCTGCTTTCTTGATCCGCATCTGATTTTCACTTCCACATAGATGTGGAAATTCTTTGAAATGTGCTTATATAGTCCTTTCTCCATGTAGAGCCCTTTGGTCAAAATAGCTCCACAGTCACCTTCAACTTTTGATGGCTGACTGAGTCAAGGTGGTAACTATGCTCCTTATGTTTTTTTTTTTTTTAGTTAAAGCACAGGATTATTCACAAGGCCATCAGATATATATCCAATATTATTATATCCAATAGTTTAGATATTAAATGGAATTTTGATATATATTTTTTTTTTTACTAGGGCACATTTTCTTGTGCTAATGACAGGACCCTTTTAGAGAAGGTCTTTGGAATTGACTGTCTTGGCACAAAAGACTCCTGTTGAAGAGTGATTTTGAAACATTCTTGGATTTGATCAAGAACATCCCCAACTTTGATTAGTTCCATGATTTTATTTGTTATGCTTGTCTTGGCAGTGACTATTTTGTTTTGTAGTGCCACTTTGGACAGGAAGAAGGTAGAAGACCCTAGGACTGGGTCAAATGCAACTGCTACAGTATCTTAGCAAATTACTCTTTGTCCACAGAACTGCCCCATCTGTTCATGTGCTTGCTCGTAGCCAGCTCTAATAATGAGGAAAAAATCATTACCTGAAACCATTTTCTTTAAGGTAACTTAAGCAGTGTAATTGCAAACATTTGAGTTTGTAATTTCTCTTTAGGTTAATATTTGGTGCTTGTTGCTGAGGTGCTTTTGCGAAGGAGATACTGGTGAATATTTAGAATCACTAAAAATCTTTCAAAAAAAAAAAAACAAAAAAAAAAACAAAAGCAAAAAACCCCAAACCTCAACTTTCTTGCTGTATTTTGTCGATACATAAAGACTAATTTGGATTCTGTAGAAATCTCCTTTTGTTTGGGTTCAATAGGAGAGAATGAGGAATCTTAGACTTCAGTTTATCTCTAAGAAGACTTTGGGGATTTAAACATTTTAAACCTTATCATATTAATAAAAACCTGGATTTTTGGTGGCAGTCTCATTCTTTTTTTTTTATCTGTGTTGGAAAGAACAAGTACTAAATTGTGATTGGGACGTGGTAAATGAGCAAAGAGAGAATGAAAAATAGCTTGTCTCTAGTAATTTTATTTTTTTTTTTATTTTTAAATAGAGTTCATACTTTCTTGACAAATAGACAGTGAGGCTATAGACAATGAGATTAGAATGGATGCTAGCATCATGCTTGCACACCAGTTAAAGTGAGTGTTCTGCTTGTAGTCTTTCAGATACTGACTGAGCTTTGCTAGTCTTTTTAACTGACTTGCCATAAATTGGTGTTCTCTTTTTGTAGATGCTTATGAAACAGCTAAGATGTTATGTGAACAGTACTATCTGGTGGCACCTGATCTGGAAGTTGAAGAATTCAATGGTAATTGAGAACTTCATTTAATACAAGTGATGTATTTAAGAAAAAGCATTTCTAATATCTGTGGCTTTGGTTTTGCTAATTAATTTTAAGTCATAATTTGAACTCTGCAGTCTTGTATTGCATCTTGGAATCCAGAGGGAATTGGCTGACATAGTTGCCTAGCCATTCTCTATGATATTTGAAAAGTCATGGCCATCAGGTAAAGTCCCATGTAACTTGCAAAAAGGCAGTATTCTATTCATTTTTAAGAAGGGTAGAAAGGATGACCCAGGGAACTACTGACCAGTTAGCCTTGCTTCGGTGCTGGGAATATCATAGAGCAGATCCTCCTGGAAGCTATGCTAAGGCACATGGAAGAGAGGGAAGTGATAGGGGATAACCAGCATGGTTTCACCAAGGGCAGGTCCTGCCTGACCAACTTCATCACTTTTTTGTGATAGTGTGTCTGTGGGCAAGGGAAGAGCCACTGATGTCCTCTGTCCGGACTTCAGTAAGGCCTCTGACACAATCACCTATAATATCCTCTCCAAATTGGGAAGATATGGAACTGGTTGTGAGATTGTACCCAGGGAGTGGTGGTCAATGGCTCAACGTCCAGATGGAGATCAGTGATGAGTATTGTTCCTCAGGGGTCAGTACTGGGACCAGTGCTCTGTAACACCTTCACCAATGGCATCAACAGTGGGATCGAGTACACTCATAGTACATTTGCAGATAACACCAAGCTGTGGCGTGTACTTGACGTGCCCAAGGGACAGGATGCCATCCTGAGACACCTAGGCAGGCTGGAGCAGTGGGGCCCAAGTGAATCTTTTGAGGTTCAACAAATCCAAGTGCAAGGACTTGCACCTCAGCTGTGGCGACCTCTGCTATCACTACAAGCTGATATGCTAAGAAACTGATGACACAATCTTCATCAGTGTGTTGACTGATTTTTTTTGTTCGTTGTTTGTATTGATAAAATAATTAAGACTTTGTATACATTCTCTGTCTTTAGAAGTAGATCTTTAAATTATCAGCCCTCAGTGCCATAAAGGGTGAAACTGACTCTAGCCATTTCTTGCATGTGTATTTATGTCTTCCTGTGCTTAGGAAACAGGAATTTAAGTGACACCGTATGTTTTCTATGCTTTTAAGGGAAATATTTCTTTTTAGAATATTAAGCAGTGTTTTTTTCTTAGTTTAAGAATCTTTGTGCAGCAAGTATGCTTAAATATAGTATGTATTAAGAAAAGTGAATCCCATCTAAGTGGGAAAACTGTTGTTCATAACATACATTTGGTACAACTCAACAACTGATTCATCAAGTTTCATGAATGTTCTAAAAGTCTGCTGATGTTGGTATCTTTAAATATCATTAGCATGTGTCATTTAAGGTGAAAACAGCAACTGAAAACTGTTTTTATGCAAGATTTTTCATGGATTGTATTCTGCACTTAGAAAATTAAAACATGCTTAGATGACTTTGCTTATAATTTTGTGGTAGTCCTGTAAATAGAAATGCTACAGGATAGTGTTCAGGAAAAAAATAATCTTTTTCTTTTTTTTGTTTTAGCTAAAGCTCCAAACAAGCCTATTCAAGTAGTCTATGTACCTTCTCACTTGTTTCATATGTTATTTGAATTATTCAAGGTACGTTGTGCTTATTAATATTTGGAAGGGGTTGTGAACTCCCATTACTGTTGAAATTGAGGGTTTTTCAGTTGTACCTCTAGAGTTTCGTTTCTGTTTTCCTTTCTTATACTTATCCCAGTGAAGAGTGTGAAATTCTGGTGAAAGTTAAGCTCACAAAACCTCTTATGCTCTTGTATAATTAAAAAAAATTTTGTTTTCCCACCTCTCTCTTTGGCTTTTTGATACTAATGAATTTGATTCATGATAATCGTTGCAATAATGGTACATCATCTTACCATTTCTACAAGCTTTCTTTTTTATTGCAAAGTGTCTTCTGCCTGTTTTAAGAGCAGCCCGTGTATCTGTGAATAGTGTAAATGGCATGCTTTGTCTTGTTTTTTGTGTTTTCTGGATCATTCAAACAACAATGAAAATGGAACAGAACTACTGTATGTGCTGGAGTAAGACAGGTGGTCTCTGGGTGGTGCACTTGTACTTGAGAAGTCAAGGAAAGAAACAGTGCATTTGGTCAGAGAGATTTTTCCTGAATGATCATATTTTAGCTTTGCTTTCTGGCATTAGACAAGTATGTTTGTTTAAAATCTTTCCTTATTTTGCCATTTGTAATGTTACTTTGAGAGAAGACCAGATGAGAATTTGTGCAGTGTTTGTATGTATGCTTTGGTACAAGTTGTGAAACTGCATGAAACTAGTAAATTCTAGCTATAAGAAATGTTAATCTATGATGGACTGGCAGTGGAAATTCTCTTAATAGGTATGATAAAGTTGGGATGATAGACTGTGCTATAAACATTATGTTGGGAAAAATGATAGCTTTTGCTGTCTACCATCAATAGTGGTGTTCTGCAAGACAGACTGGAAGAATGGTGTTGTCTCCTAGATGGGCCCTTGATTTTGCACAAAAGTATTTTTCTTGCTTTAGATTCTCTGAGTTTCTGTCATAAATAAATGTGTGTACGGTAGACACTTTTTTTCTTTTAACTTCAGAATTCAATGAGAGCTACAGTGGAGTTGCACGAAGGTAAGAGAGAAGGATATCCATCGATCAAAACCTTAGTCACTTTGGGGAAAGAAGATCTATCTATTAAGGTAAGTGCCAAAAAATAAGTTCATATGCAGCTTCCCAACCTGCTATATCTAGAATTGTTTGACTTGTAATTTGAAAAAGCAAATTAAGTACTGCATGACCTCTGATGCTTCATCTTCATGAATATTTTTGAAGTCATTTATGTAATGCTTTCACGTGTTCTACAAATCTTTTCAGAACATAATGCTGAAAACTAACTTTTCATTCCTTAGATAAGTGATCAAGGTGGAGGTGTACCTTTAAGAAAAATAGACAGATTGTTTAACTACATGTACTCAACAGCACCCAGGCCTAGTTTGGAACCCACAAGAGCTGTTCCTTTGGTAAGCAATTGTAATACATATTTAAATGTTTTTTTGTGCGTTCCTTTCATTGCAGTCTACTGGATCAGATTTTCCATTGAAGTAATTGCTTATTGTTAGCAATTCTATGCAGGTAAAACACATCAGGATAAAATGGGGTCTGTTATCACCACTTAGTCTTTGGAACAGGAAGTTGTTCTTCTTTGTCTTGATGTTATATTCTTGGAAACAAGCATATCTGCATGAGCATGGCATTATCACAGGTACATGGGCAGGATTTTTACTGCTGCATTACCAAAAAGGTAAATAATCTAAAAAGCCCCTCCTAGATGTATAAATTACTGTTTATCTGAGTTTATTTCGTGAACTGAAGAGGTGAGCTACGTTGTGTGTTCTAGCACTTGACAAATACCTCCTGGTAATGCACAAGCTTATATGGAATTTGGAAAATGACTTCTGTTTAAGTTCTGGACTGTGAAAATGCATTTAACAAAAAGTCCATGACTCGCATGTGATATGATGGTTTTCAGTGTTCAGCTGGAGATGTGATACAGTCTCTTGAGATCTGTCAGTCAGACTTCAATAAGTGGGTTAATACTGATTGTATTCTTGTGTTTTGTTCTGTTTTGCTTCTGTTGCAGTCCTTTGTCTTAAGTGTCAAGAAAAAGTTTATTATTTGGGAGATTTCCTTTTTCTCTTTAAAAATACTCTCATATAGCATGTTCTGAAATGTCGATTTTTGGTTCTTTTTAATGGTGCTTCTGCAGTTGAAGTGGCTTCAGGCAGGAAATTATATATGTGTGTGTATGTGTGTATATATATAATATATATATACACACATGCATACACACATATATACATATATATATGTATATATACACATGCATACACGCACATATGTGTATCAGAATATATATGTTATTCTGATAGAAAATAATCAGCAGTGAGTAGAAGGTAGAAACCAAATCAGAGTGGTTCAAAGATGATATGTTTCCTTCTAGATGATTAGCAGAATCTTTGTGAAACTATCTTAGACCATAGATCATAGCACTGTGCCATGTAAACTTGCTGGTTTGTTCTCACAGTGCTTGATGTCACCATGAGTAGGTCTGAAGTTTGTCCAGTTCTGTATTTACATTGGCTTGATATTAATCCTTCAATATTGCTAACTTTACAACACCTCTTAGTAATATGTTTCAAATGGTGCTGTGCCTTTTTCATCTAAAAAAAAAAAAAAAAAAAAGTGAGTTCCTAAATGAAATGAGAAGACTGCTAGGGGACAGACCTTAATTCAAATATGAACTTTTTTCATGAAATCAGGGATGGTGGAAGCTCTGTTCATTTATAATCTGTCTTTGTTCTGTCTCAGTTTTGATCAGCAATTTACTATCAGAGCTCACAAAGATTTCCTGAAACTTATTCTTCGTACAAACTTGTACCTTGATTGCCAGTCGTATTCACCATTAAAATGTCTCCTCCTTTGTGACTCTGATTGTAAAATGTTCAGCTTGAGATTTACACTGTATTCATTGTATTACATTGTTACAGAGGAAAAAGGGCTTTCACAGTGCATCTTGATATGTATTACATATTATGGTCCAGGTTCAATTATAAAAGCAATTATTCTGTAGTTGGTATGTCAGTAAAGAAATAAAAATCTTTCAGCAGAAAGGTTTCACATAAATGAGTCATCTTCAAAGTCTGTGCAGAAGGAAGGTTTCTTTTTCACTTGGTGTGAAAGACCAAAGCCAGTGAGAAATTACCATGCACTGTGCTCGCTTGTCATTCTGGCTTAGGTGATGTTCATAAACTAAATTGCAGTACAGTGTAAATAGGTGTATTTTTCTATTGTAACTTTCTTCTTCTATGTGCTCTCCTGTCTAGTTTATGAAATGTGCATGGACTTGGAGAGTGGAAGAAAAGAGGGATTGTTTTGTTGATTGATGAAAATTCTGTTATTGAAAATGTTTTTTTAAAATCTGCTGAGAGACCTTGTTACCATGGCAGCATTCTGATTCTAGCAGGTTTTGTACTCGTTTGTGCTGTTATAGGCATAATGAAAATATTAGAAACACACAGTAACATTTAAAAAGTCAATTTTTAAAAAATTAATTAAAAGAGGGGAGTCCAATGATCCTCCCTTTAGCAGCATGTGGTTGTAGTGGGAGAAATGTGCCTTAAATCAGGATTAATTAAACATGCTGATACTAGTAACGCAAATATTTTCCCATTTGTATTGCACATTCTACAGTATTTCATGTAAAATTAGTCCTACAAAGTTTCCCCTTCTCAAGGCAGATGGACCATTACTGACTATGCTCTTTCTTCTAGGTCTCAGACCAATATAGCAATTAGTTGTTTATAATCGTCTTTTTGGAAAAAAGCTTGCCTTAACAGGGTACTCATTTGGAATCTTTTGTCTTCATATTTCTTATAAATCAACAGTTTTGGAAAATAACCTGAAGACAGAATATAGAAAAAAACGACAGAAGATTTTTTGGAAGAGGGAAGTATGACACAGTTAGGCAGACTAGTATGCAGTGAAAAAAGACCTTCTTGAAAGGAGCAGGAAGCAAACAGAAGTTGGACATGGGTTTTAAGGAGGTATAGATCTGCAAAGGAGAAAGTATAGTATGTTTTCAGAATTGCTGAGTGCTGCCCTTTTCCCTAGCTGGGGCTGTGTACTGCCTACAAGCTGCAGTTTGGCTGTTTCTTAATTTCACTAACATGCTGTTCTGTCTCTAGAAAAGATGCAAGCAAGCTTCTGTATCTTTTTTGGAACTTCCTGTTTTTAGAGATCAGCAAAGAGATGCATCTGGTCTTGAAATGGATTGCAAAAAAGTGATGCCAGTGTCTGTAATGGGAGTCTTTGAGGATTGTTTTGAAGTGTGCTGTTGTTTGAAAAAGTGCATATAAGCAGCTGTTCTAATTGTGGAAATGAACACTAATGACTATTAACAAGCAGTATGAGTAGAAAAAGGCATCTTTATGCTAGCAAAACAAGAAACAGAAATGACACAGATTAACTGTTAATCACCAGCGTAAGTAACTGTAAACCGTGGAAGATCACTAAATTTACACTTCTGTAAAAATGTGAAGTGGACAAAAGTTGCTCTAGAGATGATGAGAACAAGATTACAGTATCAATCAGAAATTTTCAAAAGCTCTTTGATACTCACCCCTCTCCCCCAAGAGATTTATTCTAAAGTGATACCACATACAGTGCTCAAAGTTCATGCTTGTTAACCTTCTTTTTTAATTATTTTTGTCATTCTGGGGCTTTGTTTTCAAGATTCAGGGCATGATAATCAATTATTACATGCCTAGTATAGCATAGGTTCAACAAAAATAATTGACCTAAACTCTCCCTTCTGCCAGTATTTTTCAGGTTGTTTGTGTATAAATAGTGTAGTGGATTGAGTTTGCTAGTTTTCTGAATTTCAGCATCAAATTCTTCTTGCAGTCTACCTTTATGGTAAAGTTCTGTTACTGCATTGCCTTCTATATCCTTACTTTCAAATTTTTGTATGTCTGGAATCCTTCTTTTATTGCTCTGGATAGCCCTGAAAAATCCAGGGAGGTTCAAGTAAATAATCAAACGCAGTGTTTATCAGGATGGCCCCAGTCATCTGAAAGAGGTGGTGTGTAGGCCAAAATCTTACTCTCTGTCAGCAGTGAGTGTCTTTATTTTTGTGTCAACTTCTTCTGACATGAGTGGGTTGGAATAGATGTGAATTGCTGACTTATTTGTGGCTGTGATTATGAATATGACAGGTACAAATCTTAGATTTGTGATTAGTTGCATCTATTGTGCTTTGACAAATAGATCATCTGCACATCTACATGTTCTCAGTAGATCCTTCAGTGTTGTGTAATCCTGACTTCTTGCTGGAGGGGTAAACAATACCAAGAATTATTTGCCTTCTGTTGCTTTCTGTGTTGTTAGTGAAGTTAGTTTCTCTGCAGTAATCTTCTAATCTCTGTTGCAGTGTGGCAACTGTTAAAAATATGGTATTATCAAAGACAGAACGGTAATCACAGTCAGGAAGCTACGGATTGTTACCAGTTTGTTTTAATGACTGGAGGTAGCATGTATTGTATGACACCTACCTACCTCCTTGAGGAAAATATAAAATCACAGAGTGGCATGGGTTGGAAGGGACCTCAGAGCCCACCCAGTTCTGACCCTATTGCTGCGTGTAGGGCTGCCACCCACCAGATCAAGCTGCCAGGGGTCCCATTCAATATGGCCTTGAAAATGGACAAGGTAGTCCTAACAAAGACTTGCTGTTTCTTTGTTTTCTTCTATTTCAGTACTTTAAAGAAAAAAAACAAAACTGCCTAGGAAAAAAAGAATGTTCCAAGTGTTGAATCTGTACTTATAGTGCAGATTGAGGATATAGAAAAGCTTGAAGAGTAATCAGAGGCAAATCTGATCTTTAGGTATCTTCTGTTTTATAAACCGGTATGATCTGTAGCACTTCTTTTTTTTTTTAAACTTCTTGTTTGTTCCTTCTTTTTTTCTTTTTTCTAGGCTGGATTTGGCTACGGCTTGCCAATTTCTCGTCTGTATGCTAGATACTTCCAAGGTGACCTAAAACTCTACTCAATGGAAGGTGTTGGATCAGATGCTGTAATTTATTTGAAGGTATGAATTTGACCCTTTCATAAACTAGCAATGCAGTGCATCTTGGTACCTTATAATGGGCAGGTGCCATGTGGTGCAAATGAACTTTATCTCTTTTCACTCTTTGTTTTCAAATTTGCAATTGCTATTTTTGTTATGTTTCACCTCAATGAGTTGCACAGAGTTGTAAAAATAACTTAAAAAGATAACCTTGACTCCCATACTCATCAGCTTACCTTGAATTCTTTTCTTCGATCACTTGTGTCTGATTTTTGCATTTTATTAACGTATCATAAGAGCTGGATTTTTCAAACAACTGTGTGATGAGAATTTTGGATAAGGCTTCACTGATTCTAAAACTTTTGATTGCAGTAGAACTGAAACAAGACTACTGACTAACTCCTGACTTGTAGTTTTTTCTCCTATCCTTGACCTTCGTGCAGTAGACTGTATTGACCCTGTTGGCACTTTTCAGGAGGTAGCAGGCTGTGTGGAGGCTCACAGTTAAAACAAACTGCTTGAATTTTATCAGCTCATGCACGTATAGCTCGTTCACCAGGCGTTGACTCAATGTTGCTACTGTGTCTTGCTGTATTTAGTGAGCAGGTTTTGGAGTTGTGCACTACTTTCAGTTTCTAATGAGTTTAATCTTGTGCAAGTATCCATAGAGGAAAAAAGTATGGTGTTTCTAAGAAGAAAAAAAAAAAATGCATGTGGATGGGCCTGTTTCTAGAATTGTGCTGACAGAGTCTGAGTTTATTGTTTAAGTAGCACTCGTACATAAGCCTAAAATGCATCTGACTAAAAGTTTTTTCTCTTACTGTCTTTTTAAACACCATTCCCTGAAAAGAAGGGAAATATTTTAAAATTTTATTTTCTTTTAACTTTTACTGTCATATCATACTATAAGAATGATTGGTCAAAGCCAAAGTATTTTCAGAATAGTGTTGTGATGTGTAATGCTCTGATAATTGAGACACTTCCACAGTTACAACTTCTGTACTAGAACAACCCCCAGAGTATCATCTTCCTTTAGGTATCTCCAGGTGATATCTTACCATTGCTTTTGTTTTTCCGTAGGCCCTTTCAAGTGAATCATTTGAAAGACTTCCTGTTTTTAATAAGTCGGCGTGGCGGCACTACAAGACCACACCTGAAGCAGATGACTGGAGCAATCCTAGCAGTGAACCAAGGGATGCTTCTAAATACAAAGCTAACCGATAATTTGCCACCTTTTGTCTCTGCTGGAGATGACCTCTGCATTCAGTATCAAGTCTCTGCTTTGTTCCAAAATCCTCCAAACCACAATAGCTAATTACTTCCAAACAAAGACCTAATCAGGGCATTAAAAGTAGTAAGAACAAAGTGATGATTGGGACTTACAGGAGGCACTAAGCACGTTTGGATGTGAATCCTGCCTATTTCACCAGTATATGCTTGGTTGCTTCAGTCATGCATTGACAAAAGGGATTGCACTTAAGTATACACTGTTGTGACAAAAGATACTATTTCAAGTGCCAATTTTTATTCCACGAAGGATTAGCAAATTGTGCAGAATCCCTTTAAATGGTGAATAGCATCTTGCACAGCAATGTGGTGTGAGAGAGAAATTCTAGTCTAGTTAAGCTTATGCTTTGAAAATCCACCTTTTGCTGCATTTTATTTTGCGGTGTCACCTCTTACGGAAAATCCCTTTGAGCTCTCTAGATCTCATATCTGATGAGCTTAGAAATGTGTAGTTCTAAAAAGGGTTGTACAGCTTTAAACCAATGCTTTTCCCAAATTCCCCAAACCATTTTTGCCCAGTGCGTACAGAAATTATGTTGGTGTAAGACATTGGGAATTCCACTTTTTGTTAATACATCTTACTGAATTTCTTGACACAGAAACACAACAGCATTTTTAAATATCTTTCCCTGTTTTCATGGAAGATCATCATCTCTCCATACAAAAAAATCCTGGCAGTGTGAGAGCAGGAGGTAATTAAATTTTTGTATTTGTTGCTTGTCATCTCTGGAGCAGCTGGGAAAAGGGGGAGAAACCTGAAAGGCCAGACAGCCAGTCATACACATAAATTTGCCTTAAGAGTGTTGGTTGCTTGGAACCTGATTAGCTTAAAACCTGTAAATAGTTTGCAAAGTTATTTATATATTCAATGTCTGACAGTAGTCTGATAATCTGAATTTGTAGTGTATATAAAGATGTTGTACACCAGCTTTTGGAAAGCGTCATTGATATAAATAAATGAAACTGGAATTATCACAGAAATGGGAAGGGCAAAGCAATTGGTACCTGATCTGAAAGGAAAAAAAATTAAAGAGGAAAAAACTAAGTGTCATCTCCTCAAATTACTCGTAAGGGTTTATTACTGAGCATTAGGAAGTTGCTCTTCACCAGGTCTCTGCCATATACCATTTCTGCAACTGTGGCCTGTCAGAAGAATCTGTGAGGTTCCAAAGTTCTGCTGATAAAATAGCCACAGGAATAAAATAGACGAATTGTAAGCAACTCTGCACCCTCAGTTTCTTCTAGATATTTTGATATTTTTTTCTGAAAGAAAGATTTTAGCATGGAAAACTGAAACTTGTTTCCTAACATTCTGGGGAACTGTCCATGTCCTCCCAATATTTCATTTCCTTTTGTAGAGGACTGGCCTGTTAGGTAAGCAGGGAAATGCTGAGAGATTCCTAGATATTTTTTTAAAGTATGCCCTTAGTTTAACTTAATGATAGTACGTAGCACTTGCGTAACACTCTTCATCAGAGGATAGTAGAGCACTTTGAGCAATAAGTTACATGTAGACTCATTTCTGAAAAGTCAGAGGCCCTGTCTTACAAACTCATGCTCCCAGCTGTCGCAATCAGTTCAAGAATTTTTATAGGGATGGTCATGAATTTGCAGGGCTTGGGTTATTGTAAGCATCTCTGCACTGTACATTTAAGTCACACTGGATTGCCAGGTTGTTTTAGCATGATCTTGAATGTGACTGCTGAGTGCTGCAACCCGCTTCAGAGGCCCAAACAGCAGAGTGGCTGCTGGAGCTGCCTGGTGCTGGCTGTGAGCAGAGCCCTTCTGAGCTTGGAAATGGAGTGCTCCAATGGGGCTGTTTGTTCTCAGCCAGACTTCTGCAACACTTCTTGGGAAACCTTTGCAGGCACAGTGAGGGTGCAGCTCGTGTGATCCCCAGAGCAATAATTTCCTATGACTGTAGGCACGGCTGCAGGGAAGGCAGATTGCTATTGGAGTGATACAGCCATGTGGCTGTTGCTAAATCAGTGTAGTAGTCCAACTGAGATTTCAGGTGGAAGCTGTACCAACTGAAATGTAGCTGGTTAACTTCTGCCCTTGCCCATAACTTCTTACTGTCTCTTGAATTTGTTTCAAGTTGTGTGTGTTTTTCCACTCATCACCGAAGGCGGTTTACTTAAAAATAGACATTTGTGATGAAACTAGTGTTTTCTCAGTTGCATGTGGTCAGTTTTTCCTAGAACATGACCAAAAACATTCTAAGAAATACGAAGCTGAAACTGAGCTTTTCTTAGAACTCAAATTTTGTAGTAGTAAATTTGCCCCCGTAGGAGAAGGAATCGAAAGAAGAAAAAGGATGGAAATGCTGAACTTTGATTTTGTGGAGTGACTCTAAATGAAAGTAAAAACATTGTGGAGGATTATGTTTTGATAGTCCCTTCTCTTTCTTCGCAAAAGCCACTAGTTGACTTTCAGGACTAAAGTGCCCTGTATTCGAAAGCTAAAGTCCTCCTGATGTGGTAACTACTTCCAGGAACCCTGAGCATGTATGAACTACTCAGAGCAGGGAAGCTGAAAATGCATTCCTTGTGCTCTTTCCCTTTTCCAAAGTTTGCCCTCAGGCATCACACTGAATATAGACGAGAAACAGCTTTACTCCTCTCCGATGTTGACTCAGCAGCTTGTATGTTCTACAGTTCTGCAGCTCTCAGGTATGCCGTAAATTGGTCTTTGCTTGTCCTCTTGCCACTCTTCTATGCAGGAGTATTAGTCTGAAAATGGTCTTAGGAAACAGCAGCAGCAGGCCTTGACAAGCTTTCCAATGGGTGTTCCTCAAAAATGAGGGTGGGTAGCTTTTAACTATGCCTAGCTTAACTGCACACTGTTCTTTTTTTCACTTACTGCTACCTTTAATTAGTATCAGTCATACCTATGTATTTTAATATTTTGGGGCAGTTAATTCCAAACTTAACTGTCTGATGGTATCAAGCTATGTCTTTTCTAGTGGATTTCACATGTGTGCTAATGCTGCTGCAACCTGTTTGTCTTGGGTTACGGGACACAGTAAATAGGAAAATGTTTTCAGTGAAAATACCGTGTATTCCTTGCATTTAGTGCTTAACAGAAACAAACTGAGCAAGAGATGTGTCCTACTTGATTCTCCCTGGGAATTTACAAACAACTTCTGTATGCCATACTGTGATGGAATAGTTGACCTTTTTCCTCCACTGCCTGTTTTTCTGGTGTATCTGTCTTGAACATACAAAAATAATGCCCTGTCTAGCTGAATGTTAATGGATACTGAAGCCTCTCCAAATTACATATGTATCTCTGCTCCCTGTTTTTTCTATGCTTTGTTTTGAGGCTAACAAGGTGCCTCTGTTGGTATTTGACGAGAAAGATCCTAGAATGCTTTTAGAACACTGAGGTGCAGTCTGTGTCTCTGTACATAGCTGTGATGGCAAAAGTCTTTGTCCTGCTGCACTTTGTGCCATCTTTTGGACAGCATTTAGGGCAGGTCCCTTGGGACATGCATAAACAATATGTTAATTCTGGTGTTCTTGGAAAACTCGAGCCACTTCTTGGCTATGTAAACTACACTTGATGCTGCAACTGGGTAATGTAATTTCCTTTCTCCTCAGTGGCATGTGGAGTGTTTGCTTTGCTTAAACAGCTGTTCACTCAGTCCACAAAGTAAATAGATTGACTATCCTGGAGTGTAGTGCAGTCCTCTGTTCGCCTCAAGCCAGGCTGTTTTCGTGAAACCCTGACCTCATTCATACAGAAAACACGTCTCCCTCACCTTTAGTAAGTGTTTCTAGATCTGTACATGTTTAATGCTGCTAAATGCTAAGTGATCTTAAGTGATATAAGCCATTCTGTAGAAAACAAACTAAATGTTTATAATTAGTGTTTATCTCCTTACAATATCCAGGTCTGACTGCAAGGTGTCCAATTAGTTTGCATGTTCCCTTGGTTGCCGTACAGGTGCTGTGGTTCCTAGTGGCTCTTATCTCCTCTTTTTGCCATACTCGCTCATCATGAATCAATATATCTAAATGTGTCTTTGCAGAACTTGAGAGAATGTGATGGCACGTGACAGAATGGTGTATTATTGAGCTCAGAGGTGAGGAACACAGACATAAATTGTGTAGTGACTTCATGGCTGAATGCCAAGGCACATGTAGCAGCTTATCAGAGTAATCCCACTTTAGTGAATCTGTTCTCAGGATCAGCTGTTGGTGTTAATTTGAAGCAGTGAAGATCTGTGTAACTAAAGTACCTTTCTAATTGGAAACAAATGAGCAAATTCAAAGTTCACATACTCAAACTGCATTATTAAGTTGCCTTAAAAGATCTCAGAAGTTGACATAGAGAACTCGTTTCTTAAATTTAGAGACTTGTTTTGGTAGGATTGGTGTGTTTTTGATAATTCTATCATTGTCAAACTCTCACTAAATTCATTATTGAAATTCTTCCTTTGAATACATCTGAGAGGTGCCAGACTGACAATCTTTTGAAGTTCACCTGCTGTGTCTACAGACCGCCCTGACAGGCAGCAGCAGGGCAGATTTCCTGGTGCTGCTGCCAGAACCCAGCTCTTCAGCAGTAGCTGACCTTACTAAAACCTGCTGGCTTGCCTTCTCTGCTGAGCTGTTGACAGTGTGCTGAACTTGTGCCATTTGTATCGGGATTTGATGTGCGCTTCTGACAGTGGGAATCAATTGAATTCATTTTCAGCATCTGTTATGGGCAGAATTCCTGCGGTGCCTGCTCATGTACCATGACCAGCACCCACGAGGTTACATGCTGCCATTCCTCTGAGGTAGCAGTGTTGGTTTCAACTGAGCTTCCAGTGGAGTGGGAAGATCTTTCTTCATGAGATTACTTGATGTTTTCAATCTGATTTAGAATCGTCTTGTAATTTGTGTTGGAATTGTTTCTAGTCTGATCCCATGTATATAATTTGTGTACACTCTTATTTTCTTTTCCATTGCTGACAAATAAAAATATGTAAAAACAACATTATGACATCTTTAAGGGACTGATTCAGAATCGCACGCTGTGGAGCTCTTCTCATGGTTGGACAGCACAGGGTGAGCCCCAGCCTTTTGGTGGACACTCAGAGCTGGGAGCTTAAAATCTGCTTGCAAGTCAGGAATGTTGTCTCTTTTGTGTCCTGTGAAATCCCATTTTGGCTTAGAATGATTCTTTTCAAAGGAAGTTCTAGTTTTCTTTCTAAAGTTTTGCCATGTCAGTGAATCTTGTGGTACAAATTTTTGGTTTTGGAAAGGATAGAATCATGTGCTGATACAGCTCAACTGCAGTTCTTGGTTTTGCTGCTATGCCAAGAACCCGGCATCAAATATTTACAAAGGTAGCAATGCTGTAGAAAATAAAATGGATGCTTTGTCGGAGCAGTAATCTGAAATTTAAGATGTTTCTTGCAAATTGTGAATCTGAAGGTGCATCTCCCTACAGAACAATGACAATGCAAACACACCACAACATGGGAGATGTCGTGGTGAACAGTTTTTCTAAACCAGAAATGATTGTCAGTCGTTTTTACAGATACTTGTTTTATTCTACTCCTTTTCCTATACAGACAGGCTTCTCAAGTTCTATAGTTTGGGAGTGCAGGATGGGGGAAGGTTGCAGGTAGGAATGTGTAAAGTACATTTGGGGATAAAACTTCATTTCTTCTTGTTTTATAGTCTGAGCTCAGAAACTTGAGTAATTCCTGTTCTACTCCTTAGCAGTCATTCATTGCTCCTTTCTTAGAACATCAAGGTAAGAAAAGCGTCAGGCCTTTTTCTGAGAAAGTACTGTTTTGAACAACTGCCCCAAATGGTAGGGCTGTAGTGGAGCCCCACATTCTCCTTTTCTCATTTCTGTAAGGGAATCCAGAAGCAGTTGTAATTCGAGGACACTAAATTGCAGTAATTTATACCTTGAACCTATTTGGTGTCTGAGAACATCACCATTTAAAATGTGAAATAGTATTTTAAAAAAGAGTGTAATATTCTCCAGATGATTTTTATTTTGGAGGGAGTGCAGGTTCATAAGCAGAACAGGTGTTAGGATTGTAAAGCAAAGGAGCAGAATTAAGGAGCTGGGTATCTGCATGGTAAGTACATCTGGAAGTTCACTACAAACCTGACGAGGTTGTTGGTCCTCTGCTCTCACCACTTTGTTCTCTGGGGGCCTTTCCTCCTGATCTCTGCAGCCCTCACTGATCAAGACTGCTGATCAAGACTGGGTCATTTACTGAGTGAGAACTTGATTGATCAATGCCAGTAATTAAAGGGAGCATGAAGCCTGCAGCCTCAGGCACCTCTATTATTTCAGTGAAGTGGGATTTTTGCTACAGTGTTCAGTGCTATGGATTGACTCTTTCACTCATCTCTGCTTCTTGAACTTCTTGGTTTCCTGACAAGCAGTGGAACAAAAGGAGTGATAGTAGATTTTGTAAGCCCTGTTGTTGTTGGACTGTTCTGTGTATGTGCAGCAATGGTTTATCATCGCACGTTTTCCTTGAAGCACGTGAGCACCTCTTTTTCCTGCTGTGTAAATCTCCCTGAAACTGAAATGTATGGGATGTTCTTGGGGCTTAGAATATCTGTTATGAAATTGTACTCTGGGCTTCTACCTGGAAGCTGTTCCATTTCCATTAAGATTTTTAAGCTCTTGTAACTTTCAAGAAAATTATAAGGCTCCTATGGCATCTACTGAAGTGCTGCTGGGTTTCAAAGTCGTTTCTCTGTAAAGAGGAGGTTATAATTCACCTTTCCTAAGTGGGCAATGGCTTTGCAGTTCAGTTACCTTATTTTACTGGTAAATGTTGTTTGTTGGTAAGGGAAATGTGGTTAGAAAATGATAGAATAGGCTTAAAAAATTCCAGAATTTGCAGCTGGGGCCATAATTCAATGTAATAAGGCTGGGTTTGGAGTCTGAATTACATGAGAGATGTCAGTTGTTCATGCAGCCTGGTTCATGCCTTCATGTAGGATTTTCCCTTTGTGTGTTCCTGCCTTCATGTGCTTACACACAGGGACAGAGGGTTGTCTTCTTCAGTAGTCCAGCTGTGTGCAGTTTAGAAGAATTCTTCTTACTGCATTTGGAAATAATGGTTGATATGCACACATTATAATCTGGTTTTAAAACGTTTATCTTCCTTGAGTATTGTGAGCTAAATAATCTTACATGAGCGATCTCAGACTATGATATTTCATGTTTAAATGACAGAGGGATTTAAAAGTAAGCAAATCCTTGAGGTGTTACATGAGAGCTGGAACAGGAGCTCTCTGCCATGTACAGCAGAAAATAATTTTTGCTTCTTTGTATTTCAGAAACTCCTGCCAGGTTTATCTGAACTCATACGAATGTTCAGCGGAGACCTTCCTCTGGGAATGTCTTCTGTCTCCCAAGTACTGCAGGGTGCCGTGCAAAACTGTCCCATGTCTGTCTTTAGCAACAAAGCTCACGTTGCCAGCAGTTGTTTTGGTGGGGACCTTTCAACAGTTCTGTGCAGTGCTGAGCAACTTTGAAGTTTGGACTTATTCTGTAATTAAATGTCTCAGCTGGGAAGTCCTAACAAATTGTCTGCTGCTTCAGCTGCTCTCTGCCTAAGGCAGAACTATGAGAGGAAAACAAAGTAACAAATACAAAACAAATTTCTGCAGCTGCTGCAGTACCAGTAACTATTTCCCTTTTATCTTGTCTGTAAGGAGTTGGTGATGCAGAGCATGCAGGGTCAGACTGACCGAGCTACAGAAGAGCCAAATGCGTGGGGCAGCGTCAGGAGCTGTGCTCTGTGGCTCAGGTTTGCTGCTGCAGTCCTGCAGGAGCCTGGTGCACCTGTGAGCTGTCCTGGCTCTCAAAGCACCACAGCTGCTGCTGGAGGAGGATGTGAGAGGGGCTCCTGAGAGCAGCACTAGGAACTTGAGCAGCAGATGTTGGGCAGGTCAGAGAAGCTGCTCAGGGGGCATCTGTGCGGTGTGAGGTGTGGGGTACAAAGGATGGAGGTGACAAGTGCTGTGCTGTCAATGGGGTTGTGCCAGGACTTGTGCTCCAACATGCTATAAAATGAAGGTGAGAGGCAGAAATATCTGTTGTACACTGTTTATTTTTCATGTGGAGCTTGGCCAATAAATAGGACTGAATTAAAGCAATGCTCATGAAAAATAAAAGCCAACCATGACTCAGAAGTGCGAAAATTGCCTTCCATGTGTCCAAAGACAATGAGGTTCTGGTTTGCTGGAGATAGCATTATGGATATTGGTGTCTGTACCAGCAGGGGAAAGGCTTCGGCTTATTGATGTCCTTCTATGTGGGAAAAGGATGCCTGGTACAGGATATGGCTTTGTCACTGGATTGCCACCTGGGACTGAGAAAGAGCTTCTGCCAAGCACAGGTCACTCTGAGTTTCTCTCCAGCCCCATCTACACGTCATGGATGTGTCTTCCACCCCAACCACTGACCGATGGCTGCTGAATAGGGAGAATTATGAAATCAAAACAAACAGTAAAACTCAAGAACAAGAAAAACCTGCCCACCTCCATTGTGTTTGGACATGGCTCGTATGAACAGCACCAGTAGCGAGCGGACAGTTCCCATGGTGGAGGAGTGGTTTGTGATGGGAAGACTTAAACTTGCAAAGGATCAAAAAAAACTAATGAGTGCATCCCAGGTATGAAATTACAGTAACAGGTTGCCTAAGGCTGAGAAAGATCTTAATTGCATCATCCCACCAGGTGTGCAGCTGAGCTCGCTGTGGCTCTCCTCATGCACTTCCTCATGAAAGCGGCATTTGTCCTGTTCCCTGCTGTTCTCTGCTCACCTCTTTTTGCAGCTCTTGACAGAGGAGCCAGCTGAGCTCCAAATGCATGCCTTGAGACAGTTACTGGGTCCTGTCGTAGTCAGGGTTGTTTGGTAAAGCATTCTCCAAGACCCATCGTAAGATCTTAATGATAAGAATCACTAAGATTGGAAAAGACTGCTAAGATCATCTAGTCCAACCACTGACCAAGCCCACTAACCATGTCCCTCAGTGCTATATCTCCATGGTGACTCCACCTGGGCAGCCTGTTCCGGAGGGACAAATGCCAGCTGAGGGTCTGCCTGGTAGGGCCAGGAGGAAGGCAGGTCAGTTATTTGCCAAGCAAATCAGAGGCAATCAGAGTGTGCATCGTGGAGAGGAGAAAGCTTCCTTAGTGCTACTTCTGTAGTTCTGCTTGGGGATGTCAGAAGCAAGAGAGAGATTCCAGTGCCTAAGCACACTTAGTATCACAGAATCAGAATTGTTTGAGTTGGAAAGGCCCTCAAAGATCATCTAGTTCAACTCCCATGCAATGAACAGGAGCATCAGTAGCTAGATCAGGTTGCTCAGAGCCTGGCCCATCCACATAGATAGGCCCCACCTCATATCAGCAGTCACTGGGACCCCATTGGCTGCCTGAGGGTAGCATCATTTTCTTCAGCCTCTTCTCTGTATTAGGGTAGAGGAATGGCCCCAGCACCCATGCAAGGACAGCGCATCTATGGACACACTTGGTTCAGAGTTTCATGCGAAATTTCTTTGAACTAGATTAGTAGCACGTGGGGACAGCAGCACTGCTGGGATTGCCATAGGGTGATGTCTGGGAGCAGCAGGGTTTCCAGGAGAGGTCGGTCTGTTCCTGGGTAGTAGGCCTCCACATATGTTAGTACCATTCACCAGCAGAAAATGCCAGTCCTCAGACCAGTTATTTCCCACTGCAAGAAATTCCAGCTAGGGTGGTCTTCACTTACTTTCTTGTCTCCAAAGTGCAAACCTGGGGAACAGAGGTTGTGACGTAGCTGTTCAGGCACTAGGAACATGGAGAAAGATTTGATAAAGCTCAGGGTGTTTGTACAGCTGGAATCTTTACATATGCCCTGAACAGAGGCTTGGTCAACAAGCAACATTCAGCAGTTTGAACATATCAAATGAATTTCCGTCTGCTCAGCTGGACAACTCTCCATTTTGCTGGCATGATTCGAGGTCTGGGGTGGATTTCATTCAGAAAAGAAGGTTCATTTCCTGTTTCTGAATATATTTGCTGCAGCAATGCCCTTCCTTCGCGTGCTGGAAGAGCTCAGGGTTAGCAGGGTCCAGTTTCTCCAACTGCTAGCCACAGCTGTGTGCCCACATGCTGGGTCAGGACTGTGGAGGACTCTGGCTCCCGCCTGCCCTGCACAGCACAGGTTCCCCCCCAATCTGGCCGGCCCCCAGCAGCAGGAAGCAGCAGCACATGGACAGGAGCTCACTCGCAGGTGGATGCTATCCTGCCAGTCCCCAGCACCATGCCAGGCAAATGCTGCCAGTGCGGCACTGCGAGGGAGCGGGGATGGGATACGCTCTTCCTGAGATTTCCCTTGCTGTGCTCCAGTCCGTTTCCAACATCTCCCAGAGCACGTTCCCCGCTGTCAGAGATACCCCAGATGTTCCTCACGCTTCTCCCTATCCAGCGGTTGAGTCCATAGCTTGTTCTTCTGTCTCATGGTTAAAAAAATATATCTGTATTTTATTTTTCATCCTCGTCTCCCTCGCTCATGCTGCTGAGGGAGGCGGAGGCGGCTTTAGGAGAAGAGGGCGGGGAGGCTTTGTTGAAGACCCACGGAGGGGATGGCGAGCGGGATGGCGAGCGGCCTCGTGTAGGGCTGCTGGTTGGGCTCTGCCGTGGAGAGAAAGCCTGGAGCATTCGGCCGCTTCGTTCCTGGAACATCTGCTTCTGCAAAAACAAAGTGGGAACGTGCTCTGAGTAGGACACCAAGACAGGAAGGGTCTGTGGGCAAAAGGGGCTGCTCTGCGTGGTTCCTCACCTGGAGTTAACACAGGATAGACTTCTGCTCTGAAGCACAGCCCCTTCATCCCACGTGTACTTCACCTCTCAAGCTGTGCTTGCAATAAGCTGGTTTTTGTCATTACAGGATTTTCCTTTTAGCAAGGACAGCCTTGGAATGAGAAAATTGTGTACTGTCCTGAGTTAACCAGGGGAGATACCTTGGGCTCAGTTTAGATGCGACAGTCATGCCGTCTCACAAAGCCAGTCCCCTGCCTGACCTCCAGGTGCCCCTTGTACCCAGGACCTTTTCTTCTTGCTGTGCTGCACAGACACCTGCCTCCTGCTCAGCTGCCTGGCCAGCGCAGGCCATTTTCCTCGCTCCTTTCTCAAGGGCAGCAGCCCAATGCCTGCCCAGTACTGTCAAGTGCTTCTCGTGGTACCTGGAGCGTGCACAACCCAAACCCTTAAAACTGGGGACAGGGTGGAAATGTCAGAATTCAGATGTCTGTTAAAAGAGAAACACGCGCAGCCTGTATATTCTGCTTCGTTTTTTATTGTTGTTAGCTTGCTAAAGTTGAGCGAGAACCTTCCATAGCTGGTGGGGTGGAACAGACCAAATTTTCAGGCAAGTGATCTGCTACAATAAGGCAAATGCTGCTTCTTGTTAGTGCTGCTGTGACCTTGCAGTAAGGCTCTGGGACTTGGTTACAGGCGATAGAGCTTGTACTACGCAGTGGCCGTCGGCTTCATGCTGAATACTCAGAATCAGAGTGGCTCATTTCTCCTCTTGGAAACAGGGAGCAAGAACTCTCAGTGTTGCTTGGAGTGCCAGGAGTCGGCTCATAGGTGACGCTTAGCTGGAATGGAAAAGCCATCCCCAGCAAAGTTAAGTCGTCATTCAGGTCTCAGAGCCAAATACTTGGTTAGAGATATGTTCTGGCTTCTGGGCATGCTGCTTAGGCTGTTGAAGGCTTTCTTAACTTGAGGTTACATTTTTGCCTCCTCCCCTTCCCGTGCCTGCTAGTCTCTCCTTTAGACACTCTCTAATAGCTTTATGTCCTTAAATTATGGTGCCCAACACTGCAGCCAGTGCTGGAGGTGAGGCTGCAGAGCAGAGCAGGACAACCCCTCCCCTCACCCAGTGGTAGTGCTGGGCCTGGTGCACCCCTGAGTACTGTTGGCCCTGCTGGGTGCCAGTGCACACTGCTGGCTCAGATTCAACTTGCCACCAGCCAGAACCCCCAAATCTCTTTCTGCAAAGCTTCTCTCCTGCCTCTTGTTCTCCAGTTTGTATGTATGTCCAGAGTTGCACTGTCCCAGGTACGGAATCTGGAACTTACTGTTGTTAAGCTTCATGTGGTTGATAATTGCCAACCACATGCTTAATTTGTCAAGATCTCTCCATAAGGCAACAGCTCCTCTTAATTCAGTATCACCTGCAAACTTACTTAGTGTACATTTGACTCCTGCATCTGAATCATTGATGAAAACACTGAAGAGAAATGGCCCTAAAATGTAGCCCCAAGGAACCCTACTAGTGATTGGCTGCCAGCCTCACGTAACCCCACTTGCAAAACCCTTTCAGCCTGCCCTGTCAGCCAATTGCTCACCCAGTGTGTTGGTTTGATTTAGCCAGTTTCATCTTCTCCCTGAAAATAACCCCTACTAAAAACATGGTGTTCGATATATTTTTATCCTGGCCAAGAAAACCACTTCTGACTCTCTTGCCCCTGCCACCTACTGGCCGTTTCAAAAAGCTCAGTAATGTGATGCTTCATGGTGTGGTACCAGTGCAGGGGGGAACTGAAGTGGCCCAGCCTGGCTCTCTACCTATCCCACTTGGCAGTGGGCATTTGACTGTACCCCCGGGCTGGAAAGGAGAATTTCACCTTCCTGCTAAGGCCCTCAGCTGAACCATAGGACATTTTCCTGGTCCCTGCTTCAGCAAAGGGTTTGGTGATTGAACAGCCTGATGTGCTCACACCTTCAGCTGGGGAGGTGGGTGCCCAGCCAGTCCCCACTGTCTCTCACAGAAGTGCCTGAAGCACCAGGCTGAAAGCCAAAACCATGGCCAGCTGCAGGAGGAGATGGCAGTGCTATTCCTAACTCCAGGATGACTCCTCTTCCCCTGGCCCTGCTCACCCGGGGTAAGTGACACCCATACATCTTTGCAGTCCCCGTGTTCCTAATGGAAGTGGTCCTCTAGCCACTGGCATTGAATAAATAAAAACAACATTAATGACTCGCTTGAAACACTGGAGGATTGGACAAGGCTGTGTGCCAGGACCTTCTAAGGAGACAGCAAAAGAATTTTCAAGCCTTGCTTCAAGCAAATTCAGATTCTTCCAGCGGTTTAGGGAGATAATACTTAGATTTGGTAAACTTACAACTGGACAGAAGTGTTTTTCCCACTTCTGAATTTTGTACCTTGTAGTGGCAATCATGCTGCTCAAGGGTGGGGTCTATGTCGATAGCTACATGCCATGAGGGGCAAAAGAAATTACACTGCCTACATGTTGATACTCCTTTGTCTTACAAAACAGGCACCAACAAGGAATTACAACGGACTAATGCTTTTGTACTGTTGATTTTTCTCCTGACTTTCAAGGTCCAGGCTGTGGATGTATGGAGTGTTGTAATACCAGCCCTGCCTCCAGCTGCAACATACAAAATTCACCTAAATCTCCATGGGTGCCTGCAGTGCCCCAGCCATGTCCTGGGGGGCTGTGCCTGACTGCCTCTGCACATGCAGCAAAGGGACAGTGGCCCTCTGAAGGAGCGGTTCATCCCACTGAGAGGAAGATTCATGCAGAAGTCATATGCTGTAAGCTTTACTTTCTGCTAATCTAATCTGAAAAGCAGCTCTTTCGCTTATGATTTCTGAAATGAGGTGAAATTAGTCCCACTGTTTTCTGTTTTTGTGGAGCTCCATGTCTGCCAGACGTGCTGGGGAACTCTCTCACACCAGAACAAAAGTTTTGTGCCGCATTAATCGTCGCTGTTTCTGACACCTCTCTGACTCTCTCTCAAAAAATGCATACAGAGAATTGTACAGGTGAGCAAAATTATAAATGAGTTGCCTACAAATTTTCATTTTGAAAACTGACGTTTTGACCTTTTTTAGAAGCTGCTATTTTTTTGTGGGTTACGTGGCCCTTACTTTTAGAAAATTGATGCTAGCATAAAGTGTATTATAATAACTATTTGTGAAATAATAACAGCATATTAATGGAATTCAAATTACAGATCTAGGAATCTACCACACCCGTAACGATTCCTGTACTTTTACTGTCAACATTAAAAGCAACATCTAACTAACAGCGATAGGGCAAATTAATGTTAATAACAGTTTTGACACTAATAGCAAGTTATCATTATTTTAAAAGTCTTTCCTGCTGCAAAGCTCAAACTGATTTAAAAAAGCCACAACACCTCTCAGCTCACTGTCACTGATGCTTTTCCTACAAGAGTACAAAGAAAGAGAATACACCCCTCTGGACTGTTACAGATTTTTTCTTAGCAAAGGTCTCTGATTGCATCAGATTTCCCATTAGGTGATCTGGACATGAACTCAGGACACAGAATCACAGAATGGCCTGGATTGATAGGGACCTCAAGGATCATGAATCTCCAACTCCCCTGCCACATGCAGGGCCACCAACCTCCCCATTTAATACTAGACCAGACTGCCCAGGGCCCCATCCAATCTGGCCTTGAACACCTCCAGGGACGGGGCATCCACAACCTCTCTGGGCAGCCTGTTCCAGTACCTCACCACTCTCTCTGTAAAGAACTTCCCCCTGACATCCAACCTAAATCTTCCCTTCCTCAACTTAAAACCATTTCCCCTTGTCCTGCTGTCACTCACCCTTTCAAAGAGTTGATTCCCCTCCCCTCTGTAGGCTCCCTTTAGGTACTGAAAGGCTGCAATGAGGTCACCCTGCAGCCTTCTTTTCTCCAGGCTGAACAAGCCCAGCTCTTTCAGCCTGTCCTCATAGGGGAGGTGCTCCAGTCCCCTGATCATCTTCGTGGCCCTCCTTTGGACCCTCTCCAACAGCTCCCTGTCTTTCTTGTACTGGGGGCTCCAGACCTGGACGCAGTACTCCAGATGGGGCCTCACAAGAGCAGAGTAGAGGGGAACAATCACCTCCCTGTCTCTGCTGGCCACCCTTCTTCTAATGGAGCCCAGGATGCCATTTGCTTTCTGAGCTGAAAGCCACAGCATCTCCCCAAAATATCTTTGCAGAACAGCTTTTCTCTAATAAATTGAATTCTGTAAAATATTTATCATCATATGGTTTTTAAATGTACTTATTGTTCAGTTTTGATTTGGTAGAGCAGGGGAATAGGATCAAGGCTTTGAAATTCTCTTCCTCCCAGTGCACACCCAAATGCATCTCATCTCTTGTGGATTTCATGTGATGTATGCATTGGTTTGATTTGTTGGTTGCATCTCTTTGTTCAGCATCTATGGCCACAAGACCACATTGGGAACACTAACTTGAAAATAAAGCTCTTTTTATGTGGATGTGGTCAATGCAGATAGACCTGGGTTCTTCATCAGAAGAGTTTATGGTCTGCACTTCCCTAAGGAAAATGATATTACCAGTGAACAACTGGCCAACAAAGGTACATCTTAGACTGGGACATGTGGTGTTCAGAGGGCCTTTGCATGGGACAGCCATTGCTGTAAGGAGATGATAAAGATGCAGTCTATGTTCTTGAAGCCTTCTTTTAGGCTTTTCTCTGTTGAGCTGTAATCAGTGCGGCAAGTGATGGCAGAGGGGTGGTGATGGTGAAAACTCCAGTAAAGGACAGCTTGGTGGCACCAAGTTCTGACGTGGCTGTTGTATGGGCTATTTAATTCACCATCTTGACATGGATTTGTTTATAAACAGAAGCTCTACTATGATCCTTTCAACAGAGCGTACTATTCATAATGGTATGCTGTTCAGCTATGGACTGATAAAAGTAGGATGAGAGAACACTGTGTGTGTTGGCTCTTTACAACTGTTCCAATGGGATCTGCATCACGCTCCTGCTAAACTGCTTTTTTTCTGGCTTGCTGCCTCTGTTGACATTTGGTCTCAAACAGTAAGCCACAGGCAGTTAAAGCCATGCCCAATTCTCCTGCAAAAGGTTTGATTTCAAATAAGGAGGGATCTGACTGTCTGCATGCCATGGTCTGAAAATGCACCTCTGAAGCATTCTGCCGTTCTGCTGAGCGTGTCTTGTTCTTACTCTGCTCTCCTCAACTTACTGTGCATTGCTTGCTTCTCTCCTCTGTACTTGCAAAAAGTTCCTCAAACTGAGCAAAACCTTTGCTTGGAGCTTGCAATTAAAACAGCATGTCTGAGATAACGCCAGTATTGAAGGGTTTGGCTGGGGCCTGGGCTTCCACCACAGCACATTTGTGCAGAGAAGTTGCTGGAAAAGGACTGACTCCCAACACGAAGGGCTAAGAAGTTCTGCATTAACAAATGATAACTTCTGCATTCAAAAGAAGTTTTGTTCCTGGTTTCAAGGTAGCAATGGGAAGCATTACAGGAAAACAGGGCTTCGGAATGTTTGACAGCTATCAGAACTGGAAGATGAGAGCCAGGTCTCTTTTGGGACTCTGTTTTGTAACCAACTCACCACTCATTGCAGGATTTTAGTTCGAGAAGGTGGTGCACTGGAATTTCTTCCCCAGATAATACTGTTACAGCCCCTTAACTACCCTTCCAAAGCACCAGTAGATCCTGGATAAATGGGGTATGTGGAGCCAGCACTTACCAAGGAGACCTTCAAAAGTGCTTCAGTTTTACCTGAAAATTCACTGCAGGCAGTTAGACGACCCAGTTCACCAGACATGTATGAGAATTTCTCAGTACTTAAAATCAGTAGTTCTTAAGACTAGGAAATATCATCTACTATTGAGTATGGAGGATGAACAGAACAATTAAATTTCTAATATTCCTGTTTTTCTCACCAACTTCAGTGTATAGCTTATCTCTACTATCTGTGGTCTTATTTAGTGCTAATGAAGAAAACAGACTGTACTAAATCTGTTTGCTTAGTAAGAAGGCTGTAAGGCAGCCAATGACTGAATGTAGTATCGCATCCACTATCACAACTTACTTAATGGCAGAATATCTCGCTGGTTAAAAAAAATATTATAAATTATAAACATAAAAGACAGAAATTGTTGCAAAGAAGCAACAGGCATCGCAGATCCTCCTGCTGCAGTATTGGCACGCATTACTGGATTCAGCAAGCAGGTCTGGCATTAGCCTACTGTGCTGACTTTCAAAGTAAATACTGCAGCAAAGGAATCTGCTCTTGAATCTGTATTACAGAGAATAAATAAATAAAAATGCTCACACTCCCTGGCATGGCAGAATACCTACCAGGGCTCCATCGGGTCCAAACAGCTCTAAAAAGTTGCCAATAAATTCCCTGGACTTTTCTTCCCATTTTTGAATGAGGTCATGGCTCTTCTCTTCCACCTTGTTAACAAATTCTTTTGATTTTTCCTCTACGTTCTTTACTTTTTCTTTCATTTTGTCCACTTGGTTTTGAAAGCGATATTTCTTCTCCTGTTTAGAAAGTGTGGGCAGAGATGAATGTAAAGGGTCTTGGGAAACATTATGCACTGAATGCAAAGAAGAAAAACAAATCTCATGACTGTATCTGCTTTACATTTATATACGCATTTAATATATCTGTAATGAAGCACAGAAAGTGCATACTGAAAAAGATGTTTTATGTTATTACTGCGTTTATTCTACTACATCACTCTGTACGTATTTGCAAACTGAATGCACTTTGAAAATTTTGTGAATCTTGTCAAGACTACAAGTGAAAAATTAACAGTTCAAACTTAATAGAAAGCAAAAGACAAATGCATTCTGCTCTGACTTGCCAGCCTGGATATGGACTTGGTCCCAAATGCCTCTATGATCAGACTTCTGCAGTGCAGAAGGAAAATTCTATTCACCTCAGAGCCTGGCAAATACAGGAGCTTCAGACTGCCAGAAAAGAGAGCAAACTCCTATTGCTCGGTAGCCAAGAGAAAGAGAGCGGAAGTGAAGATACTGTTACAAAGCCATTATTTGGCCAAGCTTCTAAAGTAATTCAGGGCTTTTGTCCTGATATGCTTCTGTGCTCCTCAAAAGTACGGCATCCAGAGCTAACCGAACCTTTGGCCCTGGAAACAGAATGCAAATCCACAGCAGACAGCATACTACCAGCTTTTAATTTCCTGTGAACTTCATTTAATTGTCCCTTTAATTTGCTTTCCAAATGCATACTGTTTAGTGCTGGGGGCTGAGGTTATTCTAGCTCATGAATCACAAGAACTGTCTTTGCAGGCTACGGGACCAAAGAAGATCATTAAAGTCCAAAAAAGCCTAACTCACTTTGCACCTAGCAGGCAGCCTTCCATTACCTAGGAAACCAACGCTTTTCTGACTTGGTGAAATCTCATTTTTTGTTTTGAAACACAAAAAGTCTCTGGTCAAAAGTAATATTTTTGCATTTAAATTACAATAAGCTACAATAACCAAATGTCAGAAGTGACTTCAGAATTTATGGGTTTGAGACTGGGGAAGCATAAGATATATAATAGTAATTTAACCTCAGAGCAGTTAAAGAATGACTTTAAGAACCCCCAAGGCATCCAGCATGCCCTAATTTAATGGATACTTGCAATAGTGATTGTTATGGGTAAAACACTTAAAGCAGGATTTTTAGAAGTGTAAAAGACTGAGAAGAAACACGGTGAAATATTTATGCCCAGTGTGCTGTAATTTATCTGCCAGACTTCAAGATAAGAAACAAGTAAATAAAATCCTCAAGAAATGACACAATTCAGTCATTCATGAGGGGCCTTCCCAGCTCCAGAGAAGGAGGGGTAAGGCCCCCTATGGTCTAGCCCAATCACGAGGAAGATTTCAGTAATCTACGTTATCTCTAGGCCTTAAGTTGGGACTTGAAACAGAAAATGAAGGGAATAAGCTTTCATCTCTGTCACTGTTTACTGGAGGGTAAGGTGCAGCTGATTTTTTCTGAGCAATCCTTCCAAACAGCACTCTTGCCCTACTTATGCTCTTGTGCTACATATTGTGATTTTTGAAAATTTCTGCATCAGTTATATATTTAGTTCCTAACATGCTTCCTTGTGTTTTAAAACCTATTTTAGCCTTCTCTAGTTATCTCAGGGATCAGCATTTTTGTTATTAATTTCTTTATTACTCTTGCCACACTGCAGAGAAAGTTTGGATATGAAAATCTTTGCTTTCTGTGCTGCCTTCCCGCAATAGAATAAGGAAGCAAATCACTCACTGGGTCAGTGTTTGAGAAGACAGCAGCTGTAGGGCTGGTTTCCTTCCTAGTATGCTATTAAGTCATTTACAGCTCAAGGAGGGACAGGAGCAGCAGCTTTGTTACAAATGTGAAAGCCAAAACTGGAAATGAAGCTGCTAATTACTAAGAGGATTTAAAACTATCTTCAGCTTACCTATTTATTTTAAATTAAATTCTTCCCAGCTCTGTCTTCCCTTTTCAAAACATTAGTGGGAAGATATACTTTCTTACCCTTTATGGTACCTTTGGGGTCCTAGGAAGGAACGTTTCAGAAGCAAATGTGGATCAGAGTACTTACATTTATAAAACTAACGTTCAGCTCTTTGGCGGTGTATCCCCGTTGGAGGTTGCGCCGGGCATACACATCATAGTCCCGGACAATCCTTGTGATTATATCTGATGTTGAGATACCCTCAGTTCTCTGCGTTGGTACGAACATTCCTGAGCAAAGTGGGAAAAGAAAGCCAGCTGGGAAAGCACGGCAGGACCAGGCACACTGCAGGTAGCTGAGAAGGGACACAAAAAGCCTAACCAAAGTCAAGACACTTGCAATTCTGGCTATCTTGTTCTTTCTTCTTATTCCTTTGTGAGAGGGTGCTGGGTTGCTGTACGGTTCATTTTTCCTCAGTCTGCAGAAAGGCTAAAACCTTCCCCCTGCACAGCACCAGTTCTGATGAAGTTAACAGACTGGCAGAGGCTCCCGAGTCAGCCCTTCGCTGGGAGAAGCAATTAGCTTCCACTCACACTACTGAAAGATCATCTGCTGCTCTCTTGTGTATTTCTACTCACCCCTCCATTCCTGTGTTGTGCTGTCTGACAGTCTTTGTTCTGCTAAGGTTAAAAAAAACCAACCAAACAAAAACAGACAAACCACTGGCCAAAACCACCAAGCACCTTCAGGCAGAAGATGTATACTCTGCATTATAAAATACAAAAATACAGTACAAAAATACAGTGGGGACTGAGGCCATCAGGCTCTTCAGTCCCTCCTTCATGTGTATCTTGCTGCTTCAGTGGTTGCCTTATCACTCTCCCTTCTCCAACTAGCAAAACTGGTACTTTATTGATGCTGCATTGTTTTCTTCAATGCAGCTGAGGAATGTATTTGTTTTTCACCGTTCCTCATCAAGACAGGATCACTTGACCTGTTAAAACAAGTGACAAAGGCAATACTACCAGCATGCCTTGCCTTACGAGTTAGTTAGTGCCACAAAAAATTACTACTATCACTTATATGTAATTGCAATATTAAGCTGCTAATGAGAGAAAGCTGTGAGTTAAGACTAGAAATGGTTTTGGAAAAAAAAATAAAAAATAGCTTTGTCTTAAAAGAGTACTATAGCTATTGATCAATTAATTCTCAAATTCACATAAGAAGGCAGGCATTGCTAGCCAATTTCACAGGGTTAGAAAAGCAAATGGGGAAGGAATCGAGAAGCTTAGCAGCCTCTTGTGACTAAATGATATTTGATGTTTTCCTTATGATCTCTAATTAGTATTCTCTTCAAAGTTAGATTATTTTAATCAAGAGCAGAGAGGTTTCCCCAGTCATGCTTTTCAGGCATGCAGTAGTCACTCAGGAAGGTATTTTTGGAAGCAGTGAAACCCGCTTTAAGCCAGAAGCTTCTATAAATAGGAGCTACAAGAATTCATTAACAGAAGCCAAACTCAACCCTTGCTATGCCAAATGCTGAATTGTTTTCAAGTGTTAAAAGCCATTTTGTCTTTGCCCCTTTTACCTTCTGTCACTGATTTTGCTTTTATTTGCTTCAGATGCTAAACCAGTTCATGTTTTCAAACCCAGTTTACAGATGGGCAGAGGTTTAGTCAGCACAGCGCTGCAGAGCCCACTTTTTGTCTATATGCCCTCTCCTCCATCGGCTACACAGGAAAACAGCAGTGCATGGAAATCTATACATGGGGCTCCAAACTTTGTATTTGCTTCTCTGTTCACTAACAACTTGGTGTTGGGAAAATGGGAGTACTGAAACTAAGGAAAATGCACAAATGCTTCCCCAACATTGTTCTATTTAAAACAAAATGCCCTAGGGGAAATTCACGTTGCTGATAATGCTATTCTGGAATGTTAGGACCATTATGTTATTAGATCTCTAAACTAAGGTAGCATTATTCCTGTTTTACATCTAACGAAGTTCAGTAGCACAAAATTGAAATCACTTCTCCATCATCCTTCAGCAATGGACAAAGGACAGAACACAGCTCTCTGAAGTTATAAGCTCATATTGTGGTGTAACAGCAAAGAAGAATGTGTCAAGTTTGGGCACTCTCTAGCTCAGTCTGATAATAACAGACACCAAGGGCTCCTGTCATGTTATACAGGGAACTTGGCACCTCACAAACCTAATGCAAAATAGTTTTCCAGTCAGCACCTATTCTATACGTCCCATCCATACCATAGGTATGTTTGTTCCACTGCCTAATAAAGTGAAGTGGTGCAGGTTCTGAACCTGCAGAACAGCAGTTCCCAGAGGATGGCTGCGAGTCCAACACCACAGTGACATCTGCAAGTGGAAAAAGATCAAGAACTGCTGCTATAAAAAGCTTATTTGTACAGCTTGGGTCAATACCTGCTCTACTGCTGTCATTGTACAGCTTGAGAATGTCACTTTGCGCTACAAATTACCAGCAAGCAGATTTGTTCTTGAATTCTTTTAAGACCAAGAAGAGGACGGATTCTCCACTATTCAAAGTGGTGCTTCCAGAGAGCAGTGGAAGAAAGAAACAATCAGTTCCTCCTCTTGTGCTGTTTATTTTGCCACAAGCAAAGGGTGGCTTAACTCAGTCTGCTTAGATCAGCTTCCATGAAGCTGAAGACAAACTCATGATAACTTCAGCTTGTTCACATTCAATGCATTATGGTAGTCAACCACCTGCTAAGTGGTCATGCCAAATTAATTACTCTGGTAATGATTTAAACCCTCTGCCAGTGTAGTGAAAAAACCCTCAGTGTAAATCAGAAGTGGATCCTAATGACTCCTGAAGACCTACAGTGTGCCCTCATATTCAGGCCTGTTCTGTGTCAAGGAGTCATCAATTTGTGGTCACCAACAAGCCACTGCAGTTGGCTAGGTTGTTACGGGAACTGAATTCATTTCCATCAGTTTAGAGCTCTCACTTTAGCTAAATTCATTAAAGAAAAAAAGATGGGACTCTTTATTATGACAGATTTGAATGTTTTCCCGGGGGCCATGGAAGGAATTCAGCGCAGGACATTCTCTGTGGTTTTACAAAGTCAATCTTCCTGCTGAAATCAGCAATACCTGATTTTAGAGTGTAAGAAAACATGGTGTTATCTTTGCTGCTTTTCTCCCAGCAGTTTTGGTCAAAAGGCAGTAAAAGAGTTTGAGCTGAGGCTGAATAGAGAGGTGCTAAAAGTGTGAAGTTGCTCTTACCTGCCTCTTTTATGTGCTTGTACACATCATCCGAGCCAGCAGAGGAGTACGGGATGTCATCGTGGGCTACAAAGTCAATCTGCCAGTGAACAGAAGAAGAATCACATGCCACCATCACTGAATTTTGGTTCAGAGAGGGGTTGTTGTGGAGGATCAAGCTTTGATCTCAGCTGACTTTCTTTTGACATTCTCATCCTAAAGCCATCACCTAGAATACTGCACTCTAGATTTAGGCCTAGAAGTGCTAAGTTCTGCAATAATAATGAAAGAACAGAAAGCTTGCCTCCAGCAGCGCTGTCATTAACACAGCACTGTGGCTGTCTGTGTGTGATATTCTGTAGAAAACCTAAGACAGCTGTTTCTGCTACTGGAAGAGCTGAGACATGTGGGCACCAAAGTACATTCAGTAAATTATGTTTTGTTAAGACATGTACTGCATGGCAGACAATAACTGTAGGAGATTGTATTTCTTTGTATTTCTGGCCAAGTATTGCACCTGTTCACATTAATAAGAAATATGTCTTGAATTCAGGACTTTAACAGAACTTCAGTCATTACATTATAGCTTTACTGGTTCATGATCTTTCCTGAATGTGAGTTTATGGATGATTCTTCAGTGTTATTTTGCCATTCAAAAATCATCCCAGCATACTGAGGAAAAAAGACAAGAGAAATACCACGTTTTCTGGCGCAGACTGAGGGCAAGCAAGGCAGGTACCTAACTTTGGTGACTGGAGTGAACTGAATTAAATAACTTACTCCAGCTGACACAATTTCACACGCTTGCTGTTTATCTTCAATTGACAGCCCATCTAAGGGAAAAGGGGGATAAGAAGAGAAAGGTACCTTATGTTTCTCAAGGAATTCTGGTGTTAGCGTCCAGGGTGCATCTCTGATGACCTCATCCACATAGCGACAGTGTCTGAGGGCTTCATATCTCTCTGTTTCATTCATCACAGTGAAGCCTTTGAACTTATGAGTTAAATCATCACTGCAAACTAAAATATGGAAGTATCATCAAAATGGCTTCACCTGCTGTAGAATTTGCACGATCAGACATTTTTCACTTCCCATAGTTATGTTAAGCACTTAGTTATCACCTTAGCTAATTCTGGGGAGCTCCAGGGCCTCTAGGAATTCTGCTCATGGTTGGCAAGTACAACCACAGATTTATGAGAGATCTTCCCTTTCTGGAGCTGCAGCCGGAGTCCAAGTGAGATAATGTAGGACATCTCACACGGTACTGTAAGCACATGTGAGGCAAGTGAATCCCACTACAAGCAGAGATTTCAGAGCTGATTATGGACAGCGCTTTAAAAATAAATGGAAACTGCAGTGTCAAACCACATGTATCACAAAACGGTTGAGACAGGAAGATACCTGGGCACCTAATCCAACGACCCCTCCCTGGAGGGGGGCTGACTACAGCAGGACTGCACACCAAAGATGGAGACCCCACAGCACCCTGTTCCAGCGTTCAACCGCCCTCGCAATATAAAGGTTTGCTCTTACGTAAACAAAGTCCTAAATGATTAATTTGCCCACACAGCTCTAAATCACAGAAGAACAGTTTCTCATTAAATAAGCATTAAATAGAAAACAAGTCAGGGCAAATTTTACAGGAATCTGTGTCTGAGTTTAGCTTTGACTTCAGCAGATTTCACAGAAAGAGAAATAAGGCTTATGGTATGATCAAAGAGGAAATCACAGAAGAAAAAGCTCTGTGGAAAGGACTGGGAGAAGCCATATACTCCAGTGGAGAGGATGGAGCCTGGGAATGCATCTTTAACTCCAGATGTGCCAATACTATGTCACACTGCTTTTAAAATGAGGGAGAAGCAACATCCATGTTACTGGAGGACTATAAAAGTTGGCCATTATCCTTCCATTCACATAATGTTGCATAAGATGCAGTGGCCTGTCCCCACAGCTCTAACTCTGTCCAATATTATAGCTGCAATAGTCATTTGACTCCCACATGGAATAATTTGATACTCTTTGGGTTGACAGTATGTGTCCTTCACCACAGGTCAAACCCATGCCTTTGCATCTCACTTTTCTGTGACACCTGGACAAACAGTAAAAATACTTGACAAATGACAAATGCAACATTATTAGTGCTGCAGAAGCACGTGACAGCAGCCCAACAGCAGCCACTTCTTTCCAATTTGAAAACGTCAATCTATCAGACAAGGCTCTGGCAAAGATTAAGTCTTTTTTGAGATTTAAAATGGATGTTCTTCATGTACGGTCATTAAGGACCTTTAAAGCAGGCAAAATGTAAATACCCTGGAGCTCAGGCAAAATTCAAAGTCAGATAATAGTATATATGTGTATTTCAGCTAGCTAACTGCTACTCTCTCTTATTACATCATTTTTATCATGCCTGCTGACAGGAAATTTAATGGAGAAAATGCATTTGCAGTTGGAAGATTCCTTTCTGAGACTGCATTTGTATTTATTTACAAACTTTATGTATTCTTAGAGTTACCTTCTCCTGGAAGAAAGGGTTTACTAAAATTACTGGAAAACAGAAGTTTTTGCTTGAATTTTGTAGAAAGGTGAGATTTTAATTTTTGAGTACTACTTGTTCATATAGACTGCAGTCACAGTATGTCTGTATTTCTTTTTATTTCTATCATCAAGCTCTAATGAGTGATTTGGGGAGGCATAAAAGTCTATCAAAAACATCTTAGCTCCAAATAATTGTTTTCACAATAAGAAATAAAAGGGATTGGTTGTGATGCATAGCAACACACATGACACCAGTGCTTTTGCGGCACAAATTGTACGTGGGTGTGGAAAAGTGCCCATTCTTTAAACATGCTAAGGCACTGCATTGCTGTGAAAAGGTACTAATGAGTGCTGGCTGCTTTGTCTTTCACTCCAGAATTAAAAGGCACAGTGGAGCTATGCCATGAAATTCAATAAAGCTGCATTTTTGCCCCAGAGCTCCTTCCCTGACCTGTGGCACAACCATTTCACTTCTCTTCCTTTTAAAAACAAGAACAAAACCTACATAATCTCCATTTTTTAAGCTTCACACTCTTCACACTTTTGCACATCCACTTGTTTCTACTGCAAGCTATCTGGATCAAGAGGGAAACAAGACACCCTAATTTTTTTCTTCATAACAAAGGGATGTCATTTCCCTCTCAGGAAGCTTCCTTTGAATTGTCACCATTCATAAACTTAAGAGTAAAACTGAAGATTATGTTTAAAAGGAGATTTTCTTTTCCTCTACAATTTTTTTCTTTAACCTTCCCCCTTTCTAACTGATTTGGAACAAAGATGCAATGAGTGTCTTAGAAAGCATCTGGAGGTTGCATTTACACTCTCTTTATTATCATTTCTATGAACGTCTGAGCAGCTGAATATTGCTGTGCAATATTTCTGAGATGTATCTCAAACTCAAAGGTGCAGGGAAACTGGAAATGAAATGCATGATCTTGGGGCCTCATGAGAACAGTGCTTGCACAGCCAGCTGGGCAGGAAACAGCCACTCTCCAGTGACTTCTCTGGCATATGCCAAGTGCTGAGCATCTGCTAGCAAGCCACACGGCAAAAAAGAAGGAATTAGTGGAAAAAGCTGGAAAGAATGTAAATTGCCTGGGGACACTTGTGAGCTGAAAAATACATTCAAGTCATGATCTGCATTTAGGTCTACAACGATAACGGGCTAGATTCAGCTTCTGAGCTGATGCTGAAGACTGGGCTCACACACACAGTACTGACCCAGCAGCCACGGGACGTGGGCTGTGCCTGACTAGGCAGAGAGACTGAAGAGCCAGAAATAAATGAGTGGCTGATCTCATTCACTCATCTCCATCTCTGAACAATTTTGAGCGAATAACTGAAAAAGGTAAATTATTCATGTGGAGCTATTCTAAGCACAGAGTCACGCAGACACCTGCTTTAACTAGAATGGGAATTGTGCCTGTGCTGCTGAGGGCAGAATTTGACTTTTACTTTAATTGATGCAATTGTAAGATGCAAGTCAAGGCAAATCACCTATAGAAAGCCCTCAGAGTGAAAGTAGCATTCAAAGTCATAGTGCATTAACAGCTGGGGGTGAGAGCACAGCAATAACTCCAATGCTGAAGCACAGAAGCAAAAATTCAGTGCAATAAATTACTCTGATCTTACCTCCTACTAATAAGTAGCTATTTGGGAATAGAGTTTTGGCTTGCATAAGAGCTCTAGCATGGCCAGAGTGGAAGAGGTCAAAAATCCCATCTGCATACACTCTGACAGGTCTGTCAACTGTGGAGAAAGAAACACAACAGTGATTTTACGGAGCCCAAACAAGTTTCACTTAATTCAGCTGAACAGATTTTTGTTCCCAGATAAGATCATTGTGAATATCTACTCCAGTTCTGATATTCAAAATTCTCTGTGGGTGAACTTGAGGAGTTGTATCCTGCTTATTACTTCTTCTGTGTACTCTGCTGTTTTCTCTCAAACTTAGCCTATTTATTATCATCCATCATCCCCGTATTCTAATTTAGCAAAAATGTCATCCTCCTGTCTCATTCAAAGTTCCACCATATGTCTCGTTCTTTTCCCTCTGCCTTTCTAGACAGTTCTGGATTTTCTTTTTTTCCCCTTGCTTTTTACTATTGCTTCACATTTTCTCCCTTCTGGTTTGTGGCTTTTTTCCCCATAACTCACCTCTTCCACATAACCACTTCGCTGTCCTTTTTTCATACTTCCCTCTTATTAATGAGCTCATCTTTTTTTTCAATCTTATACCCATTATCACCCATATATCTCTTCCTGTATGAAATCTTCAGCAACAGCCTTTAGGCAGAAAAAGTAAAACATACTATACCAAATGACTGGCCTGACAGCTGTGCCACAGAGAAGTTACCTTCAAGCAACAGGGAAATAGAGACAAGAAAAACAGAGCCCTAACATTCATGGAATGTGCTTCAGTGCTACAGAGAGATATCTCCGCTATCAGTCCAGGGGTCCATAAAAATTTGGGACCACATAATACCTTGAACTGACTAGAAATCTGGTATTAATTCCTCTACAGTGGATCTGCTTATGTACTCTAGAAGCTTATTTAAGTATGTAGAGTAAGCATGCAAAAGCTTTAAAAAAAAATAAAAAATTGATACTCCTGGAATTCAGTGGGACTGAAATATTTATTTGGGACTTTCTGTGAAATTATTCTGTTTCCCCAGCCCAATCACAGAGGTAAGCCTGGGAAAAAGTTCAGACAGAGCTCACAAATTAGGAATGTTTTCTTTACAAAGGGCAAACAGTCTTTAATTAAGGCCACTTAAGGTTTACTTAAGGTTTTATGTGGTCAGCAAGAGAATTGGTGAAAGAAACTCCAGTGGTAGCCATTACACAACAATTTTCAGGCTGTCTGGAGTGGGCTGGCAAGCCTTCCTTCTGAACAACATGCAAGCATCTATGAGAATATCAAACTCTAGCTTGAAATGTTTTCTCCTGGATTTTTTCTCTATCAAACAATGCCTTTAGGCACTGGTTTCTTCCCCATTACCTGATAGCACCATATCAGGCTGGCCTCTCTGCTTCCAAACAGAAGGCAAAAGCAAGTATTGATACATATCTGTAAGAGAAAGCCTGTGCTTTGAGAATACTCATGGTCCTGCTGATATTCTCTACACATACCTGGTGTTCCTAGGCGGGCTTGTGCAATGGTTAGCTTCTCGTGGGGTGCTCTGCACTGACAGCTTGTTTCATCTGCAAATGGGGCAGGTGCTGTCAGAGTCTGGAAGAGGGAAAAACACAAAGTCATTTTGTTTGGTCATCAAGGAGTCAAAAAAGAACCACTGAACTGTGTCGGAATGCTCTAACCAGGCTAAATGCAGGTGTGTTCCCTAGGAACTTTCGCTTTTCGGTCACCCTTCAGCAAATACAATTCACACAAAGTAAAATGATGAAGAAAATAAAGCTTTCCAAAGCTTTCCACTGTGTAACCAAACTCACTGTCTCAGTTGAGAAGCTCAAGCGTTCTGACGTGAGAGCAGGCACAGAACTGCTCTGTTTGCAGGGCAAAGACAGGCCTGATGGCTCTAGGTCCTAGCAGCTTAATCGTTGGTTTGGTCTCAACAAGTCCAAAGGCCCAAGTTAACAAGATGTGTTTTGCTGTGTGTAAATAATAGCTGGAAAAACTAATTGGAATCTAGAATACTACAAATGGGCCAACTCCTCACACATACCTGTTCTTCCAACTGACAAAACAGCAGTACAGATGACTGGGACCATACACTGTTTTGCTTTGTCTTTAATCAGAATCTCAGACAATTTTGAGGAGCCATTCAAAATAAAGCCAGGACTGCATCCAGAAGTCCTACCTAGCCAGAGCTATCTAAGCTGCAATTCCCTTCTCTTTTCTGACATATACTGTAATAGTACTAAAATGCTTCAACTGTTGTCGGAGCACAACAAGGGTCTGAAGAGCTTATAAATTAAAGACAAGAGTGAGAGAGTGAGGATGTGTGAAGAATGACATGGTGTTATCTGCCAGGAAACCCTGCTACAGACATTACTGTTCATGCCTACGTAGGAAGTTCTCAGCAGTAGGAATATCAGGTATTTATTATCTGCCATATGGTCTGATATGAAAAAAAAACATGCTTCCCTTACTCTTGGCTTGACGTCTCTCCAGAATCATAGAAACAACAAGCTATAATTAGCTGAGTTTTGGGTTGCTCTGTTTCTGTGAGATGAGGTGTTACTTACTTTGCTTCCACCGTGATTTAGCTGGGACCTCACAGCCTTGCACCATTGCTTTGGTTTCGACAGTGACCATTTATGCAGTGTACAGCTGTCAGTATGACTTTGATCTGTTGGTAGTAACAGAATCTCTCTTCCTGTTTATTTACACTTTTTTAGCTTTTAGATATCGAGCACTTAATCACTGAGCATTTATTTTCTTTAGCATCCCAAGATGCTTAAATCCAAAGACACGTAGAGCTTAATTGCTGCTGACCTCTGTGCTCACTGTCTTGTTGCATGCAAAGGTAGTAGTAAAACGACAGTAAAAAGTGATCCATAAGAATCATTTTCAACTCTTCCTGCTTTGGGATATACTATTTGTTTTGTTTCCCTAAAGCACTCAACCTTTATATATATACGTGTACATTTTTCCTTCCTTTTTTTCCTAAGATCAAAGACTGCTGGAAATCATCTGAGGTCACATTAATATGTCGGTGATGAAAATCACAGCTTTCCTGCACAGACAAGGTTAAAATTGGAGAAAATATGCCAAACAACTCCACATTTCTGCCTGGGTCTCATGGAAAGGAACTATTCAACTGGCTACCCACGTAGCACAGCACAGAGCATTACACATAATCATATAGTGTGAGCTCCCTCCTTTATTTTCTAAATACTGTCTTTTTGCTCCTGTCTTTGTGATCCCTGAGTGCTAACCTGTCTTTTTAACTTCAAGCAAGGTCAAGTTACACAACAGCCCATACAGCCAGGTTCGTGCTGAGATAAAGAGGAAGGTAGAAATGTTAAAACAATAATGGCTATGGTCTGAGGCCTGCAACTGGTAATCAGATCCTAGCTTGGCAGAGGCTGTTTCCTTAGAGGTTATTTGAAGAAAATAGGCCTCGTTGACAGCAAGATTTTTTTTTTTCCAGGCAAACACAGTGGGGCTTTTGGTCCACTTAAACACCTTTATGACACCAAGGTTTTTCTTTCAGGCTCTGCTAAATGGAGAACAACCTCTATTAGCTTCCCATCAATCTAGTTTTTGCAAACACTCATCATTAATGCTCACAAAGTCATGGCCAAGGGCTTAGACCCAGAGTTGTCCGTGCTTCCGTTACTCTGTGACCTCTCAGTCCCTGGATAAGAAAATGCATTAAACACAGCAGGTTAAAATCAGCAAAATTCTGTCAAAGACAGAATGCATAAATGGAGAAATGGAGAAATACTGTGTGCTGCCAGATGAAGTCAAACACATCGATAGCTCCCAGTTAGTGTATATAATACTATTCCATTTTCTCTGGCGTAGAAAAGATGCCACAGAGCTTAAAAAGAACATCTTATGAATAAAATAAGATCATTTGGTTTGTCTGCAATGGTGTAAGATAAAGTATTTCAAGAACTGATAAAAAAACAGAAATAAATTATCGAGCGCCTTTCCGCTTTTATTATAATTACTCCTATCTTTCCAATTTCTTGTGAGTAATAACTTCAACTGAGAAAACAGATAATCTACATAGCAGCCTTTTCATTTTGGTTAATCCACTGAAGTACTTGTAGAAGTTTGCTTCAGTTCTGTTAATAATCAGATAGTTAGACAAGTGTACTTCTGTCTTCTTCTGACAGATTTTTCATCTGTGTCTTCATTATTTTCTGGGCACTTTCATTTTGCATTTGGCCAAGCAAATCAAATTACCCTCATATTTTGGACCAAGATAAGCTTCTGAGATCTGCATCATCCTGTAGCAGGATACTCTACAATCTCAGCGTGAGCTCACTGGCAAATTATCTCCTTTTGCTTGCTCAGCATCTGCCTTTTGCTTGTATTGTTTTATATTCTTGCACTGGAAATCATCTATAGTCACCTGTTCCATGTCTCTCAGGATTTCAGTTATTTTGTGATTTGTTTCTCCTTTCTCCTCTTGGTCATTTTTTCCAGGCTAATTTTACCTCGATTAAATAACAGAATTATTTGCTCCCTCGTACAGCTGGTCCACAGCTTTATTTTTCTTGTCCTTCTCTGTTAACCGCAAGGTGGTTTATACACTGTTCAAGCTGATAACTCTTCCAATTTCTAGAAAGGGAGCTTATAATTAGGATGGGGCTGACTTCTTACACAGACTACTAGTTGCAAGGCAGAATGGCTTTAAACTAAAAGAGGGGAGATTTAGGTTAGGTGTTGTTAGGATGAAATCCTTTACCCAGAGGATGGTGAAGCCATTAGCACAGCTGCCCAGAGAAGCTGTGGTGCCCCATCCCTGGAGGTGCTCAAGGCCAGGTTGGATGGGGCCCTGGGCAGCTGAGCTGGTGGGGGGCAGCCCTGCCCACGGCAGGGGTTGGGGCTGGGTGGGCTTTATGGTCCCTTCCAACCCAAACCATTCTGTGTTCATTTCATGATTCTGTGATTGTAAAGCTTTAACAGATAGGAATAGAAAATTATTTACATGGTGCTCACACTCTGGGGTTATCTGATGCTGTAAGCACCTGATACCAGCAGGGAGACCATACTTTCATTTAAGCAGTTCAAATGCCATGTTGTTACTGTAATATTAATTTGTGGAGTCTAGAGACAACCTGTTACCTGTCATAAATGGAGAAGTCACTGTGAAATGGGGAATCCTTAGTGATATTTACTTCTGATGATGTTAAAAATAAAAAAAAACTTTTGCAATGCAATTCGTGTTTCCTGGAAATGAAGATGCTGCACTGAATTGTAATTAAAAATTGGATTCCTAAAAGCAAATGGATGTGAAAACAAGGTATCAAATAACCCCTGCATACCAGAAGTGACCCAACTGGTGACAAGTTTAAAGTATCTCACATGTTCACACAAGAACTGAACAAAGTTCAATCAACTTCAGTAAATTAAGAGATGGAAAGGTAGGAAAAGAGGGGCTTCCAAGTAAATGCCTCAGTGTCATTTGTACTCAGCATGTTAGCAGCCCCCAAGTATAACTAACGAGACACTGAGAGGAGAGTGCAGGGCAGTAGCTCTCTCCAACTGAGCTCCATTCTGAGTCAGAATACAACCACAGACGAAATGCCATATGACTACTAGGAGTAGTTCATTTTCAGCTGTATCTGGATGCTGCCTTTTCATTACCCCTCTTCATAGCCTCTTAGGCTACTGTAGCCATTTAACTCAGCTACAATTCAGCAGATAAATACCAACAGCTTATGTTTCCAACCGGTTTTAAAGGAAAGTGGGAGGTGTTTTGTAGAGGAACAGGAGTCAGACCACTGAAACAGCACCTGAAAAGTATGAGCACCTCTACACCATTTATTTTGTTTACAGTCTGTAAGAGGAATAACTAGTTGTGTGACTGTTTTATGTATTTCTTTTTATTTTCTTCTCCAACGCAGCAGCGAGGAAGAGAGAAATATTACTGAAACTGGGCACACGTAGAGCCATCCACACAATACTGCACCTGCAATTGTAGCTCTGTCTGCAGGCTAAGTGCATGCAATGCATGTATATAGAAGGAAGGATACTTATCAAAAATTATTTTTTTAAACACAGCTACACTACCTTGCGCATAGCAGACTAAAACATTGTTCTCTTGATAGAGAGAACTCTTCTATGTCACCAAGGATTTGGCCAGCAACAGAGGTCTAAGCACATTTGAGGTCCTGAACCAGTATGGCTAGACATGGAAAGCTCCGCAGAGCTGTGCTTTGTAAGGCCTGTGCTTTGCTGGCAGGGAAATTCTGTGGGAGGTATGAATGATGCTGCAATCTCCTTCCATCTCTGAGGCAGTATTTAAATCAAATAACTGATTTCACTGGAACGAGTCATGTGGGTAAGGTCTACTCACACGAAGAAAGAATATTTTGGGAATCTGCTCTTGATGTTAGCAAACAGTAATTACAGAGCAGGAAATGCTGACATCGGTTTTAAGGAACATTTGCTAAGAGCAAAACGTTACTGAAACTCTTTAGGAGGAACTAAAAATACACGTGGAGCTTCTGAAGTATAAATGCCCTTTGCTAGTGGAAGGGCTTCCTACCTGGGGAGTGAACAGCACACAAAATGAAAATCCTGTTGTCTGA